AACCAGGCAAACTCACAGTTCCAGAGGATGTGAGAATGCGGTAAGCCTTTTATTTAGCTGTTTGTATTAACTTTAGCTGATGAATTTAAAAACCATTTTTATTCAAGTTTTGGTATTTATGACCATTTTCTAAATTTTTTATTGTTTAATTCAAAAAATTCATTAAAAAGTCAGCTAAATCTAGATAAATATACAAATTTATTTTTGAACTTTTGAAAAGGAAGATTGGGAGGGGGAAGAATGATCTTCTAGCAATAATGAAAGAGACGCATGGGGTAAAATAGGCTGAGAACCCCTGGTATATGTCTATATCTACATATCTAAATGCAAAATAAAAAATACGCTTAAAATTCTTCTCATATTTAATTTGGGAACTACTCTTATATGCGCCCTCAGGTCGCCAAATTTCTCGCCACTCCACGGTGCCATATTACTATCTAAATTTTTTGTCTACATTTCAAGCTTTAAGTCTAAAATGTCTCCTAAAACACGGCTTTCGCACATGCAAAAATCACAATTTTGAACACACAATTTAAGCTAAAAATGCGAAACAAAAACAAAAGATTTAGATAAGAAAAACAAAATTTCTAACCAAAAATATTTGACAAGAATCCATGTACACGCGATATGTTTTAACTTAAAAAAATATCTACGATTTGCACAATATAGGCAGCGAAGGAATCTACGAACTATGCACACCTCACTTTAATAAATTAACATTAACAATAAATTTTAAAGAATACTATGTACACAGCATTCTGTTCAAGCTTAAAAAAACATCAGCGAATTGCACAATCTAGGCATTGTGCACAAATCAACAAAACAACTAAAATAAATTACAAACAATACCAACAGAAATTCATAGTAAAAAAACAATGAACATAACATTCTACAAAATAAAAACAATAAAATAAAATGCACTTACTGTAATGCCCACAACCCGAGAAGGTAAAGGAAAAGCCTAGCCAGTGGAATAATTAGTCCGGCGGAGCAGGTGGTTTGTTGGGCAGAAGGAGAAAGGAGGAACATGAAGACAAGGATGAAGAAGGGAACTTTGCACCCTGGTTGTCGGACAGGACGGTCCGATCTTTTTTTTTTTTTTTTTGCGGAAAGGGAGTCACCATTTCTTTTAATATGCAGAGATTGCTTTCTCATCCGGCAGAGACAATGCCGGACTTAAGCTATTCATGCTTGTACCTATAATGTATAATAATCAAGAATTGTTTACTTATTATAGTTTATTGTTAAACAAACAAAAAATGGATGTCATCTATGCATTGATCGACAGAGACATCTGTGAAGCAAATGAACCCCACACTACGGTATAATACAATAATTCGTATCTGCCTCAGCACGACTACGACAGTCAACTACACTTACCATAATGGCTATTTCTTCGGACAGTAGAACGTACCTTTAACGCCAACCAGGTGAATCATTATTATACTTTCCTTTCATCACCGCATGTTTATCAAAACATGACAAATTGAGTAATGACTCATGTAGTAATGCCTAAACAATTTTTTATGTTAGTAATTGAATAATAAAGTAGTGTAACCTTTTATATTGACATTACACTTGGCAATGATTACAGATTTAAGTTAAATGTGCTAAAAAATGTTGACGAGGAAAAATTTACCTAAAATTTCTTTGCATATGTTAAAAAAAATATTGTTAATGATGCTCATAGACCCAAAGATTACATTTAGGGCTATTTGAATTAAGAATAACTGATTTGTTATTCACATAAACCCAGAACCAGTGCCAGGGCTCGTATGGCCGCATATTGCAGAATTTAGAACCCACGGAGACTGCATCAGGCGGTAATACAGGGTGTTTATAAAGTCCTGGACCCATTTTGATGTTTAATAACTCATAAAATAATAAAGATAGATTTAAATAAATAACATAAATGGTTAGATAGACTAAAAAAGTTTCATGACCCTTGTCAATGAACTTCCACGTGTGCCCCCTTCGTCGCACGGAGAATATCAAGTCGATATTCAATTTCACGCCAGGTACCGGCAAGCATGTCGGCATCCACACAGGCTATTGCGGTTGTAATTCTGGCTTTTAGGTCATCAATGTTCGACAATCTCCTCCTGTAAGCATTGTCCTTTACAACTCCCCAAAGGAAAAAGTCCAGCGGCGTTTATCAGGTGATCTGGGTGGACAAGGAATTGGACCTCCTCGCCCAATCCATCTTCCTGTAAAATGGTCATTCAAAGAACTACGAACGATGGTACCCCAATGAGGTGGTGCACCATCTTGTTGCAAAAAGACATGTGGCTGAAGCTCTTCTAGTTGTGGAAATACGAAGTTTTCCCAACATGTCTAAGTATACGACTGATAAGACCGTCTTTTCTGTAAAAAAGAAAGGCCCAATGACTCGGAATCCCTTTGTGCTTCATGGTATTCATGGGGGTTTTCAGATCCCCATATACGCACATTATAGTGATTAACAATGCCAGAAAGATGAAAGGATGCTTCGTCGGAGAACATTATGTGCTTCAGAAATTCAGCAGCATCTTCTAGCCTCCTTAGCATATCTGTTGCAAAGGCCATCCTCCAAGGCCTACTGTCCGGTTAAAAAACTTAAACAATTTGAATTTTGTATGCATGCAGTCTTAAATTTTTCTTAATAACCTTGTACACCGTCGAAATTGGCATATCCTATTCTCTTGCTGCTGATCTCACAGATCTTCTAGGATTGTGCAAAAATGTCTCTCTGACACGCTCAACATCAGAGTGCCCAAAATTTAAAAATACTTTATCAACCAGTCATCACTGTATACCCCCATTATCATCGTCTATGTTCACTCATTCCATATTTATTCCATCATTGCCTATGTTCACTCATTCCATATTTATGTATAAAAAAAATTCCTTTAAATTTTAGCCATCGTTGTTTTCTTCGCGAAGCTATTCTGGTTTTACTTTTATATAGTGCTATGCTTTAAACTTTTGGATATAATACAATGACAAGTAAAACAAATTGCTATCATATTACACTGATTTCTGTGAAGGGATCACTTTTTAAGATGCACTTATGTTGAGATGTTTATCAGTGCATCGTTAATTTTAGATTTTATTATGAAAGAACATTTTTCCTATTACATGAATGATTTACAAAGATTATTTGCTTCTGACTATAAAACAGACAGCAGTAATATTTATCATTCAATTATTTCATTTATAAATTTCAACTGCTTTTATGTAGATTTTTTAAATGATAGAAAAATTTTAAAATTTACAATTTTGTTTCCTACAATAATAGCTCAAATACTAACAGCATAATTTCTTAAAAATTCTAATATTAATAAAAATGGAAAGATATTTTGGTTAATCTTTGGATTATGGTAACTTCTCAATTTTTTGACGACCAACCCTGCTACAGCAATCTGCTAGTTTTTTTTTTGGACGCCATTTTGTTTTCACGAAGTAAAGCGATTTTTTTTTTTACTCAACATTTTTTTCCAACAATCTGCTAGTCGAATTACTCTTATGCTAGAACATTTATGGAACAAAAGTGCTTAATCATGATGAAGATTAGGTGCGAAATTGGGAGAAAGTGCAGAATCGCCCACTGCTTGCTGCATTTTTTAAGAATTGCACATACACGGTATCCATGTACACGACGACCTATTTTCAATTAAAAAAACATCCCAGAATTGCACAAAAATGGCATTGAGCACACTCTTGACTTTTTCCACATACACTGGTAAAGTCGTAGCTAGTAACCTTTTTCCCCTTACCAAAATGTCGCCAAACTACCTGTTTACTATATTCCAAAGATTAGCCGATATTTTTCTTCCAATATATTTTAAACTTCATTCTTAAATATATATTATATACTGCATACTTTAACAGAAACTTTTTTAAAACCTTTATTATATATTTTGCAAATATCGCATGTAAAATACACATCATAACATTACTCTTTCATGTTTCATAATTTAGCCTTCTTTTTTTTCTAATTATTACAGACTTTACTTTAAGAAATGATTAAAATAAAAAAAATCACAGAACTCAACATATCTGAATCTGTTAGCAGATTTCAAAAATAAAATGACATCATATTCTATTCTAATAAAACTAGTATTTCAATAAAAAAAGTTTTTCAAAAAACTTCAAAAGCTGTCTTATATTTGTTACTCATATCTTATATAGATGATTTTTCATGAACTAATCAGTACTATGAAATTTTTTTAAAAAATGATATAAAATGTAAATTCAAGTCATCATAAAAACCTTACAAAAATTACAGTATGCATAATTTGGCACAGTTAAAATGAATCAACGAAGGTAGAGTAAAATTTCTGGATTGCTACGGCATATTATATAAACAAAAATCAAATAAGAAATGAAATATCACTTTACACTTTTCTTATTTTCAGACTGCGTATTTAAAAACTTCTATGTAATCAATTAGGTATGTTATAAATAAAATGGGATAAAACAAACGCTTCTTGATAAATTTACTAAAACAATAAAAGGCTAAGTATAAATGTAAAGGAGGAACTACATTTGATCACACATTTCATTATGCAGCTCCTTATGGCAATGCTGTTAAGATGTAGTAAAAAGTAAAAAAATTCAGATGTCAAGTTTTGTAGTTCTAAGCAAAACTGTAATAGAGACATAAAAATTAAATTATTAAATAGGTATTCTGTTCGTATTCAAATTATTTATATCGGCAATCAATAGAATTTAAAATTTATCTGAACAAATAATTTACAATTTGATTGCTCTCTTTTGTATTTATCAACAGTATAAATATGCTCCTAGTAAGACAAATGCATCATATTTAATCTTTTTTTCAAAGCAATCCATCTTAAAAGATATTTCATTAGTGATGAAAGTATCAAGAGATTAACACCACTGAAATGAGTACCATAAATACCAATCAGAACAGTAATTTGTTGATATCTGGATAGTCATATCTTAATACAAATTTTAGTAAAATCAAAGTAACACATAAATAAAAAGATTTGAAGAGATTTGTATATAACTAAATTTTAATAAAATAAAAGTGTTCCAGAAAAATGAAACTAATCAACACTCAGCTTTTACACCTTAATTTCACTTCCAGTGCGTATAAATTTCAGGATCAATTTTACATGGTATTTTTATTTAACTTTCTCGTAACAGTTTTTCTTCAAGCAGATCTTCAAAGCATCATTAGATAGTTATGATTCTTAAATGACATTGGTGAATTCGAAAATTTCAAAGCAAACTCTGATATTACAATTTCGAGAAAGTTCCAAAACTTCAGAAAGAAGTGTGAAACGAAGTTAGCCACATTTAGTCAGTTTATGATAGTTCCGTAGCTAATTTGCTTTGAACTATTGAAGTCTTACGAGTTGGCAAATCTTCAGGTGTCGGTATAGCATCACCAGTAGGTAGCTGGGTCACAACTGGCAAAGCAGGTCGTACTTTTTGACCCTTGGCTTTAGCCATATTATAATCACCAGAATCAAAGTATTTTTGACCCTTCTGCAATCGTTTCTGTAAGAAAACAGAACCACCTGGCCGAAGAACTTGGGGGTATTTGGCCCTTAATTTTGCTTCCTCACTCTTTTCTGCTTCTTTCATCTGAGTTTCTGAAGCTGCTTCTTCAGCTGTTTGGCCAGCACCATCGCTGACGTCCTTATTCCCAGACATTGTGGATAAATATTTTTTAACAGTTCTTAACAAAACCGGTCGGTCAATTTGGCAATAAATTTATTTTCTTGATTTTCGAAAGCAAATACCAAGTCTTCCAAGAATATTAATAGGCTTATGTAAATAATGCCCCCAAAAGTGATATGAATAACTTCTTTTTGATAACTTTTAATGCACCTGAAAGGTAATCTATATTACAAAACACAACAGACAATTGAACATTCGCAACTGCAACAACGATTGAATGACGTCACAAACGCTCTTCGTTGCCAAATGTTTGAAGATATGTTAGCTTTCAAAGATGCTTTGCCAGATTTGCGTTTTTACGAAATTTTTCCTACTCCATCAATTTTTGTGCTACTTTTTCGATTTTAATTTTTTTCAATATATTGTAAAATGCTATGTGGCAAAATGATGAAGCTTCTAATGTAAATAAAATAGATATAAATCTTAAAGGTTTCAAATTAATATCACGCTTGCAACTAAGCTCCCACTTCCTGGCAGAAGAAATCATATGGCTGCTTCCGATAAACTCCTCTTATATAAATCTATTCGACGTCTATGTTAGTCCTGTTTGAGGCCACGCTGCTAAAACTCACCTTCAACACACCCAAGTTCTTCAGAACAAAGAACTTGGAGAGATTATCAACGCGCCATTGTTGATTCCAAATTCGTATATCCACCGTGATCTCAAAGTGGACACAATTCAAAATTATATTAAAAATTTTGACAGAAATCTCTTCTATTCAGTTCTCACTCATCCTAATAACTGCATCAACTCTCTTAGATGTTCTCCATTTCCCAGGGAAAAACACAAATATCTATCTGGCATTCTCCATCCTTATGGTTTTTTACACAAACTAGACTCTTCAGTTCACTAATTTGGACCTTCCACCAGAAGCTCAACTTTATTCGTCGACTGATGGCAGCCACTTTTCTTACCTTTCGTCTCAATCTGACTTTACCACTCATTTTGTTTTACTGATGGTCTTCACCAGATGCAGAAAAGGAAGCACTGCTTTCTGAAACTCTAATTCACTTTATGTTCTTAGTAGTAATAGTAGTAGTAGATGTTAATGATCGCCCAAAAGTGTTTGTTAAGGTCTTTTACGCTCTCGCTGAGATCGCAATCTACCAATCCGCTATTTACTCACTCCTACTAACGCTTTTTACCCCATAGCCCAGAAGGGCTATTAATTTCGTTTTGGCATTTTGCGTTGAAAACTTTAAATGTTGGTTCACTTTTCAAATTGTTGCCACCAAATATTAGAGCCCTATGTTATATTTAAAGAAATTAAATAATGAAAAATTTGCATAAATGCATGTACGTTTTTCGCATTGTGATAAAGCAACGGTAGCTAGAGCCATCAGATTTTAAATAACATAATCTTCCACCGAATGTGGGCATCTGGAAGCCCTAATTTGGAATTTGTTTCATTATCGATTTCGTAACACTTCAACGAATTTTTGATTAACAAACCCAGCAATTTCAAAGAGCAAAACTGTACGAAAAAAAAAAATACTTTTATCTGCAGCGCGTGTACGTTCCTAGTAAAGACTGTATATCGGAAATTCTAAAGATATGCTTATTTAAAAATTATTATGCGATTTTGCTGTTGAATTGAATTTTATGGTTTAAAAAAAAAGAACACGATGTTTAATAAATAAAAGATAACACACAAAAGGTTAAAAAAGTCCATTTGGACGTAATGTAAAATCTTAAAGCCTCCAGATTTTATTTTTTATTTTTATGCCACATAAAATTCGATTCAATGGCAAAATCACGGAATATTTAAAAACAGCATATCTTTAGAATTCCTCGGGCGTTGGAGATAAAAATGTTTATTATTCCGTAAAGTATTGCCATTGCTCGCTTTAAAATCGTTGAGTTTGTTATTCAATATTTCGGTAAGGTTTTACAAGATAAGAAATAGATAAGAAAACAAATTCGAAATTCAAACTTTATGCTTCCAAGTGCATGTTCGGGAGAGGATTACGTTATTCAAAATTTGATGGCTCCAGGTACCATCGTTTTTTCACAATGCGAGAAACATGCATACATTCATGCAGATTCTTCATTATTTAATTTCTTTAAATATAATAAACAGCAATAAAAAACACGCAGGCTTTGTCAAGTGGTTAATTCGCTATCTTTGAAGCAGGGCGATATTATTTAATAGCAACAATATTAAAAGTGAAACGGCACACTTAAGTAATAAAACAACATATTTTCAAAAATGGCAAATATTATACTCAGCTTTTCAAAGGATTTCAAGTTACATTATATTCAGACATTCTGCCAACTATTTTCTTAATAATATGAGCACGATAAATACCACTAAATAATTCTTTAAGGACAGTTATGAATTTCATGATCTCAGCAAGAGCACCAATCCCTGAAAATTATGCCTGTCTGACCTTTAGGAGCCTTATTTTGGATAACATTAACATGGGACTGTTTTTAGTTGGAGGTGGCACAATGGTGCTAGAATAAGATTTTTAAGAAGTATCAAATTTACTTCTTAAATTTGTATCAGTATGTTTTCTTTCTAAAGATTTTCATGTTCAGCGTTTATATTGCAACTTAGAGCAACAACTTATTGGTTATTATAGCATTTAACAATTTCAATTCTTATGGCACTATATTCTGACCTTTTGTAACTATATTTTGACCATACTTGACGTGGCGAGTTTCAATTTTCAAACAATTATAATCAAATAATTGGCAACTGTGGCATTGCATTACTCCACCTTTTACTTTATATGGAAAAACAATAAAATTAAAATGTATAAAACTGGAAGTCTCCCAGATCCGCTCAAGTCTGAGTTCATTTATTAGCTGTATCTAATATAACGGGATCAGTACATTTAAACCACCGAGTTTTCTGATTGAAATTGAAATATATCTTACGCTTTGCTAAGTGGCAACATATTACTTTTATATCTCGGAGTTTGTTAATTGAAATTTCATTGAGTTTGCAGAAAATATAAAATAAATTTTTAAAAAATTCGAAATTCAAAACTCAGACTTCTAGGTCTACATTTTTGGTTGAAGGTAAGTGGGTGACTCTAGATGCCTCCGTTTTTCCACAGTGCGAGGAACAAACAAACAAACATACAGTGGTTTCAAAAAGTTAAAAAACAAATTGAAAAATCGTGATAAATAGGCTTAAAGCAGCACGAAATTTGAAGGGGAAAAAAAATCTGATGTGTACACCACACGACTTCCTTGTACGGAATATTAAATTATATGCATTTTTTCTTGCATTTCATTTAAACTTATTGCATTGAATTAAATTTATTTCGTCGACAGTGCATAAACCACAATAGAATAAATGCACTCTTTAAAATTCATTATATTTGTTTACCGTAGCGACACTCTGGCCCTAGGTTCACTTAACAGCTCTACATTTCAATCATTTTTTAACTCGGAATGCACAAAATTTATATCATCTTAAGAATTATCTAATCGTTGCCAGAAACACTATAATAAATTCATTCTATTCAAACACTATAATAAATCTAAATTGATGTATAAAAGAAATTAAGCAAACAACAACAACAAAAAAGAAACACTTTTTCACAGACGATTCAGTATTTCTCATTCAATTAATTAAGTTTTCACTTCGCAACAAGGCAAAACTACATAAAAACTTAAAAATATCTGTATTGAAAATTATGAAGTAAAACACTTATTTCCTCAAATAAATTCCCGAATGGATTAAGCATGATTTAATTCGCAATAATAAAAGGCGTTATCTTTGTGCTTGGGAAGCTTACTTTCTCTACATTGGCAACAAATCTACTATTCTGCTGTTTCAAATGTAAACAAGCAATGGCCGCCAACGAAATAAATATTAGGATTAGCGGCACTTAAACAACTTTTAAATTATTAATAATTCTAAAAATATTGCATGCACATTTACTAAAGGCATAAAAACTTTAACCGGAAGATAAGAACAACATAATTCAATCATTTTTAAAGCAAAAAATGCACAATTTACAAACATATAAGAGTAAAGAAACTGAGATTACTGACTCGAGTAGCAAAGTGGATATATATATATACTTAGGGGAGACCAATTGCAACCAAAATAGGAGGTGCACATCTAACATGCTATAGCAATCCTATATACAAAATTTCAACGTTCTGAGGCTACTCGTTCTTGAGTTATGCAAGATACGTATGTATGCACAGACGCCACGAACATTTCTCTTCAGAATTCATTTTAAATCAGTTTCATAATTTTTTGTGGGGGGGAAGAGTCCTCTATTCAGTCCTTACGTACGGATGTCATGCAAATATATCATTAATTGCATTCGATACAGGTCAAAATGGATATTTTCATTGAAATATGCTGCCTGAAACTTTTCGCGATTACAATACTTCCTTTTTACTTCGTACAAGGAAGTAAAAAAGTGCAAAATCGCCCACTGCATGGGCTTTTTTAAGAACTGCACATACTCGGTATCCATGTGCACATCGACCTATTTTCACTCAAAAAAAAATATCCCAGAATTGCACAAAAATGGCATTGTGCACTCCCTTGACTTTATCCATGTACATATCGACCTATTTTCACTTAAAAAAATCAAAGAAAATTGACAAAAATCCAATTCTTCTTACTCTTGTAAAAAGCGCCAAATAAATAAGTGGACGATTCTGCACTTTAGCCTTTTTCGCAATTACAATACGTACTTCCTTTATACTTCCTACAAGAAAGTAAAAAGGGGGGGCGACAATTTGTATCTCCCGTTCCACTGGGCCGATTGACGAAATTCAAATTGCGTTTTTCATGTCTCGAAATAAAGACTTAGGATATATATTAAATTTAGCTATAGCCATTGGTCTAATAAATATTTTGATACAAAATCGTATTTTTTCTGAAATGACCTGCCAATGTTTTTTCCATATTTCGATTCTAAGACTCAAATTATGCCTAAATATTAAATTTTGTAAAATTTAGTGTGAAATTTACGCAGATATTAAAAAATTTATCTTGGCGCATTTTTTCAGTTTGTGCCAAGTTTACTTGGCGAACTTCTTAATTTATAGCAATCTAATTTCCTTTTCTTTTTTTCATTGTACACGAGCGAAAATAAGGTCAATTTTAACAAATTGTGTTAACAACATTTGTCGTTATTATTGCTTATAACAAATACACCAAATTTCAGAACACACTAATCTGTAAATCAAATATATCTTAGGAAATTTTGAATAAAACTCTAATATTTTGTAGGTATGCATCTACTTTAAGATGATGGTAAAATTTTTATAGGTTATAATTCAAAATTTTTTTTGAAAAACTTATAAAAATTATTTCAAAAGACAAATTTAATGGGCGAATTTAATTTGTAATGAACATAAATTTCAAAATGTGAAAGTAAGAAGCAAATAAGTTTAATAAAAAAGGGATATTAATAAATATATATCAAATTCAATTAACATTGAGGAGCTAAAATTTTGAGATCTAATTTTTTAAAAAGTAGTTGTGCGATTTTTACAAAACTCTGCAGTTTGGCATAATTCGAGTTGTATAATCGAAATATGTGAAAAAAAATAACATGTCACTCCAGAAAACGTCCGATTTTGTCTCAATATACCTATATTAGAAATATAATACATATATAGCTATATATAAATATAATACATATCCTAAGTCACGCTTTTGAGACATGCGAAACGCAAGTTGAATTTAGTCAAGTGGCCCAGTGAAACAGAAGCTATTGAACTGTAGCCCCCCCTTTTTTCTTTTTTTGCAGTGTACATGTTAGAAAGTAGCATTATACGAAAGAGTAGTGTTGCATCTCTTTCCAAAAGTATGATACAGCATAAAATGGGCTGTTTACGAGGGAATCGCTGTTCAATGAACTACGATATATTAAACAATTTTTAGACAGCCAAAGTATAAAAAATGAGTTGGAGGCGACATTTGCCAGCAGACATTGCATTATAGAGTAAGAGATTGATTAGAAGCAGGTCAACAACAGTTTGGCATTGTACGACGATCGTAAACTGGTTGTAAGACGAATTCCAAATTACCGTTTCAGGCTCTTACAGAACTACCGAAGGTGGAAAAGAGTTACCACTTCTGCAGATGACTCGCATTTGCAACTTAGTGAATGTAACAACAGGGCTTCAACTCCATCTCAGCTTAGATCTGTGATTATTTCTGCTACAGTGAAGACAGTATCATCCATGACAGTAAGAAGAAGGCTGCATGAAAAAGAGATGAATGCTTGTCTCCCATCACCACAAGGAGTATTTGGATTGGGCACTTTATCATGTAAACTGCATTGAAAAATCAATGGTGGTTTCTTCTGTTCACTGATAAATCTCATTTTCCCTTACAGAGGGATTATTGACATGTTTACATATGGAGAGAAGCAAATACTCGATCTTCCGTTTAAAATATGGGAAAAGGATACCTATGCAGGAGGCAGTGCAATTGTATGGCGAGGAGTACCTTTAGGTGGGCGTACAGACCGTTTTGTGCTGCCACATGAAATTCTCAATGCTCAGAGGTATAGAGACGACATAGTGGATATAATTTTTCGTCCGTAAGCATTTGGTGCAAAGCTCACAAGAGGTATGTTGCTGGCCTCCAACACCCTTCCCTAACCCTAGATAAGATTAGAACTCTTTTTGTGATCAATGGGCACTGCTACCCATGCAACTCATTGACAGCATGAAGCATCGTTGTCAGGCTTGTATTGCTGTTCGGGGCTAGAAAGTTTTTTTTGTATTGAATTTTTAAGTCCAAATTTAAGAGATTTTTTATATTCCTATTTATATTATAAAATGTAAATTTTCAATATAAATTTCCTTGTGTTTTTATGTTACAAGTGGTATAATAAATATCAGCATTAAGTTTCGTCCAATTTGCTTGCATACTTTGAGTTATCACTAGTTTTCATTTGTTATTTTTTAACTTTTGGAAATTATAATATACATATAGTTTCCTAATTAATAATAGAGAAGAACACATTTTTTATTCACTTTCTCAAACATTGTTTTGAGAATTTATAGGTCGTATGGTGTGCACTAAGAGGGGTGGCAAACGGATCATCCCAGGGAGCAAAAGTTTTGGATATCCCATTGAAGGCTAGGCCTTTGAATGATCATTCTTCTCCATACACATATTATATTTATAGAACTGTAAAATGCCCGAGAGATCTTTCAACTCAGAGATTCTTACACCACCATAAAAATTTGTGGTTAGATAAAACATCAACTGCAGAAGTTCACAAGGACATGCATTTTAAAAAAAAACGGCTTACCATGCCTCTAAAAATGTCATGTCATTTATTTACATTTCAGAAACAGATTGATTAAATTGCATTAAACGATGATTATTAAGTTTGCTCTCTACTTATTGCATCAAAAATTTAACTCAGATTGAACAGTTTCTTCAACGACAGCAGATTTTCATGTATGTATAAATAATTTTGAACAGCACTATTGTGTAATTTTATGCACGGAAAGATAATTTTGAACGAAATATTTTATTAAACGTGTAGTTCTTCTTGTATGTCAAAAATCGTAATCGTAAAAAAAATATTTTTATCGTAAAAAAAAACAATAAAGTTATTGTTAAAATATTTTGTTCAAAAATTTACAAATGAATGAAAAAAGAAAACGAATTTTATTTGCCGAAAGATAAAGAAATAATTTACCAAATTTGCTAAAGTAAATATGGAGTAATAAATTGTCTTATGGTTTAATATTTTGTGGGCACTGCAATTACAGTTCAGTATTTCCAAAATGGGAAAAATATACAGGGAAAAAAGAATATTAAAAAGCTCTATTTTATATGCTTGAATTGAGAAATATCTGGGAAAATTTTAATATTTAAAAGATAAAAAAATAGATGTTTTAATAAAAAATTACAAAATATTCATATATTAATTTTTAAATTTTTAATAAAATTCATAGTAACGGAACAGAAATTACATAAAAAAATACTAACATTCACTATACTAGAAAATCTGCATTACATAATAAAAAAATAGATTAAAAATCTTATTAAAATTTTTGCAGTTACTGAAATAAACTCATTTTGGAAAATATATAGCGTATGAAAACATTTTAGAGTGAATGCAAAAAGTACAGAGACAGAATTGTTTCTCTTTAACCGAGTACAAAAATTTTTAGAACAAAATTTTTATTTAATTTTTGTTCTTTTACTTTTTGATTTACTATCATTTCATACACACACACACACACACATATATATATAATTCTAATTGCTATACATATTTATTGAATTCAAATAATTTTTCCTGCAAGTTTATCAATTTAACAATTTCAGCCTAAAATATAGTATTATAATTTAAAGAAATACTAAATTTATTAAAATTATTCATTTCAGATTATTATTATATTACATTGTACTTTTCATACTTATTAGCTCTTCTGAAGTCTGTTTAAAATACACAGTACCTATCATATACTGTGTTAATTAAAATAATACTTTCTGTATATTAAACAAATTTATCAATACATTCATGGATACATAATTTGCACATAAAAATATTTTTTCTCAAAAAATTTCATTACTCTTTATATACACTCAGAAAGCTTTTATAACGTAATTTTCCTGAAAGTTCAGGATCAAAATAATCTAATAAGAAAAAGAAATCATCTTCAGATATATATATTTTATGATGTGCTAAAATTCTACGAAATTCCAGAAAACTCAGTCTCCCACTGCGCTGGTGATCTGCTTTACGAAATGCATGATACAAATCTCTGTAATTTTGCAATACTTTTTCTCGATATTTCAGAAATACTTTATACAGATCCATAGATGGACGACCTGACAGTGCCTGTAAAGAAAATATTTATGTAAACATAACTTATTAAGAAATTATTATCAATTATTTATAAATTTAAATAAAAAAAAAATTAAATAAAATCTATGGAAATTAGGAAATGTATACCATATTATTTTTGCTTTTAAATTGACTGATTTCAGAGTCAGACAACAACAGTTTTTTGAAAAATGTCCAATAATTAACTGGTAGATTTTTCTTGATATTATATTTTACTTCTAAGATTTTTTCGAGTTCCTTGTTGACATCAAGTCCAAATTTATGCAGAATATCTGAAGACAGAAAAAAAAATATAATTAATATAATACAATCAAAAAAAAAAGTTGGAAAGCAGGGGAAAAAATTCTTCGTAAATAGTGAAGAAAATATAATGTTGTGGGCTATTTGTTGTTTATATCTCTCTGGATGATCACTTCGAATAACAGAAAAAAATAACAATTTATTTAAAAAAAATCCATTGGAAACAGCACAGTAATTAACTTAAAACAAAATTTGGAACTTCATAGTACAAATGTCATTAGCTGATTAAGCTTTAACTAATATTTTGAGGAGTACTGACCTAAGGGAGCAACAGTTAATTAGTTTACAAATGTACAAGCCCGCTGCCGATAAGTTGATAAAAATTGGGAAAGCTTGTGCCACTATCTAAAAACTAGCATAAAGAGTGGTATTCTTTCCGAATCCATTTTTTGGCTGCGGCTGCTGTTAGCTGGTGACACAGCAATCAGCATATATTCTAAAATTCATGAGTATTTCCACTGCTTTCAAAAAGAAATTCAGAATATCTGAGAGTGACTTTGCTTTCCTTTGCCATTTTAGAAAGGATTCCCTCATGATAATAGCGGATTGCATGTTTGGTTTTATGTTTTCGTCAGCTTGTGATGATGCACATCACTATATTTTTTTCAGGTCTCTGAGGTTAGGATTTTGTTTTAAGAATTTTTTGCAAGGCCAGAAAATTTTTATCAGTCACTACATTTTTTCTCTCTCCTTTTCCTGTTTTCTAGGTTTCGGAAAGTTCTTGACGTATTCGACATATCCCAACACCACCGAAAGACTCCCATCTGAAACTTTCAGACATTTTTAAAGGTTCTTTTTTTATTATTATTATCCAGGTAAACCAGAAGGACAGGCTTCGAGACCTGCTTAAGGTCCGCAGACCATAAATTGAGAAATGTTGCCTTATTCCATCTACACGATGCAAAAACTCCAAAAATATTTAATAAAAAGGCAATGGTATAATACACTCTTAAAGTAATATTACTGAACACACAACACAGTAAAAAGAATAATGTTCTGTAGCGATTAAATTACGCTGTCACAGATGAAATGATTTTGCTTCTACAGATGGAATACCAGTTTCCTAATCTAAAATAAAATCAATCATTAATCTTATTTTTATATTATAATCACTTGTTTACATTCGGTACATTTTATCACAATTTCTTAGAGTCATATTGAACTGTTTCTTTTTCATATCTAGAAACGCTGTCGCTACATATAACTTTTTATCAAATTCTTGTCTGTTGATAAGTGTTTGCTATGATTTTTAAAATGTTTTTCTTTAGTTGTACATTTGATAATTATCGGATCCTACGACTGACTGTAAATTATTAAGATGAAAGCAAAATAACTTGTATAAAAAGGGGTTATATATACATATACAGACACACACACATATATATATATGATATGGAAAAAGAATTCAAGGGAGTAAGTGATAAATCATTCAAAGGGTTAAGTTAAAAGTAAAATAAATAAATAATAATAAAACTTGCACTCTAGAAACTTCAGAATATCATCCAACACACAGAAATTATGCTTAATAAATTACAAACATTATTTGATAAAGAAGGAAAGCGCTAAAACAATATCATTATATAATTTCTAATTTTTTTCCTTCTTGAATTCTGTCTACTAAATCTTAAAATGTTATCAGTTTGAAGATTTTAGTACTACAATCTTAAATAATACAGGAGCAGAAAAAATGTTGATCTAAAATTTCAAGTTAAAATTGTGTTAAATAAACTTACAGCTTTTCTGAAAAGTATTGAATATCAAAAAACGATTTCTATTAGCACTGGGTATTTTTTTCCTGTAGGTATCATTAAGCTTGAAGGATTAATGATTAAAATGATCTAGTCCATATATAAAAGCATTTCTTCAGTTCTAACAGAAAGCCTTTAAATTTTTGTTACTATTTACTACTCCTATAACCTCCGGGGACGGAGCAACCATTGGTCGCACTGCATAGCAGAATTTAGGAATGCCAAATTTTTAGATTTAGAAAAGGGACGAGCAGAAAAATTCAGGAAAGTGCAGGGCAGTATAACTTAGGACCTCCAGAGATTGCACCCAGGCAGGAAAAATGCCTAGTGCCAGCACTGACTGATACCACTATAACTAACATACCATTATTATTACTATTACTAAAGGGTAAAAAAGTTTATTTTTAAATTTGCTTCAAATTATTAAAAAAAGGTGCCTTCCTATTAAATTAGTTTACCACTTTTGATTAATGTATATTCTATTTCACAGCATTTTGTGTGACATCAATAGTATTTATTTAATTAAATATTCTACAATTTTTATCTCAATACATAAACACACATATTTATACACACATACTTTAACACACCATGCACTGAAACCTAAAATGATCCCTGCTATTTCCAGATGATTTTGGTCTTCTTCAGAGGTGATCGCCTTAAAGAGATGAGGTTTAATACAGATTTCTGTTCATATTCTTAGAAATATTGATCATTTTCACAAGTACCTGCTTTACGGAAGTAACTGCCATGAGAAGGACTACTGATTAATTACACTAATACTACTAATTATTTACACAAATCAAACAATTTCTATTTAGATTTACAACATTTGGTGTTGGAAACATCTACATTATTTACAGTAATGTTAGAAAATTTTGTTAAGTATGCTGGATATGTTACAAATTATTTCAGTTAGATGAAAATAAAGTAAAGAATTAGAAGTGCGTAAACTGCTTTATGACTACACTCTTTAAACTGGCTATTTGCCATTTGAATAAAAGATAAATCGAGTTTTGTGCAATACCAACTCTTGCAAAGTCAGTGGGTGGCAAATGCATGGTAATATAATATAATGCAATAATCCAAACGTTTTGCAATGACTCCCTGAAGATGTTTCTGATGAGAAAAGAGATTAGATTAGGTTAAGTTACTTGAACAAGGTAAAATATCTTTTAGAAGGACTGCCTGTCTTAGGGAAGGGATGCCTCCACGGAAGGCTTTTTAATGAAAACTGACTTGCAAAATAACGAAAACCAGTCATGCAGCTAGCCCATTCATTTGGGTTCCAACCCAGGTTGAATTTACCAGTATTGGTCTTTAACCACTCAGCCACTGATGGGGCCTCTAACAACAAATATATATGTTACCGTGAAAGACCGAAATTGGAGAATGTTGACTTTCATCTGAAAATGTTAGCATTCACCAAATACGTCGGTGAAAGATCGAGTATTGCATTGCATTTTTGTACATTCAGATCCTCGCCGGTTATGTTGACAATCACAGATCTGCTCTGGTGTAGGTCGAAAAGAGAGGAGTACAGGTACATGCTGTCATTGCAAAAGAAAGTGTTCCACAAATAAATGCAGTTGTAAAAGCAAGGGCCTCTTGTGCAATTCAAAGTGTCATAGTAGTTTAAGTTGTTGCAATAAATAAGATTTGAATCACATAATTTAGTAAGTTTTTAACTTCTATTATTTTCCTTTCTCATTTTGAATGTAGTGTGTGTTTTAAGTTCTTATGCTCTTAAGTTCTTATTTTAAGTCTCAAGTGCGTTTTTTCGCGACTGAATTACGGAGAAGAAAATATAATATTCTTATATGTTCAACATTCACCATTAGTACATGGTGAATGTCGACATTTCACGGTGTAAGTCAGGAATAAGAGTATTTGGAAAATATTTTGGACATACACCAAGCGACTATGTGAATTTTGACATTCACCTTGCAAAATCACGAAAACCAGTGTGTTGACATTCACCGGTGAAAGTCGACATTCTTCAGATTTCTGTGTTTCACCGTAACATATACATATATATATATATATTGTAACGATATGCACACCTCTGACAAACATTTGCTTAATGAGAAGAACTTCCTGTTTTGTCCAGAGACTAACTGTCAAATAAAACTTTGAGGAAAGGTGTGGAAATCCCCTGGTGCAGTTTCCGAACACAAGAGATGTAGTAATTGACCCCATTCCAAGGCTTTTCCGACAAAACGTAAGAGAGGGCTTTTGTGTGAGTTTTTATGCAGCGAGATTGACAGAAGACATAACCCACGTCGTTGCCGCATCCAGTGGCCATTGTTTTGTATTATGGCTGTAAGGTTTTGATTATTTAATAGTATTCAAAAAATTCTTAAGTTTTAAAATAAATATTTAAAAGACAACTGCTCTTTTCCTTTCATCCAACACAGATGCTCAGATGTTACAATATATATAATTAAATTCTAAATGAATTATAATTATAATTAATTTTATAATAATAAATTAAAAAATTAATTACAATAAATATTTTATACACATCAATTTTTGTTATTTTTGAAAGTAAATATGAAAATATATATAACCTATAAAATCGCTCCAAGGTACACTGTGAGAATTTTCTGAGTCTACTGCATTGCACTGCTGCAAAATGTCGCTCCATCTTTTTTTCAGATTATTAATAAAATGAATCTCATGCTCGAAATTTTTAGCTGTTTTATCTTCAGGAAATATTCTGCAAGACTAATTTTTTTTTCAGTGAAAAATAAACTTGTAAAATTAAATAATAATAATATTATTAATAAAACATAACCCAATACTGAAAATGCAACACCAAGAAAGAGTAGCCCGAAAATTATGCAAATTTCGGTGCAGATGCACGATACCGAGTTATGCTAATGATGTAAGGGCTCACGTTGAAGAAGATATTTTTTGTGCTGTTATATCTGCCAGGAAAATCATCATAGAAGATTTGTTCTTGTTTCTGAGGACATGAGTAATAGCAGAGAATGTCAGGTCATTGTTAACAGAGGCAGTTTTAGCAGATAGATGATTTTACGAGGGGCATGATGATCGGACTGAGAAGGGCAGGTCGGTCCATAAGGCAAATCTCAGCTGACACACACCTGAACGCGTCCACAGAGCTGCACCGGCTGTGGCGACGATGGTTGGAACCATCCAAAGAAATGTGGGAAGTTTGATGGGTGCCGTGCAGCCAGAGTGACGTCAGCACGCGTGGATCGTCGCATCCGCCGACAAATGGTGGCACATGTGTAAGCCACTTCTACCTCCTTTCTGCATGTTCAAGGCACCCTAGATGTTACTATATTGACCAGAACCATTTGCCATCGATTGGTAGCTTAGTGACCTGCACTCGTGGCGTCCATTGAAAAGACTGCCATTGACCCCACTACAACATCTGTGATGATGCTGGGTTCGAGCGATGTGGACTACGGAATGACACAGGGTTGTGGTCAAGCTTCTGCTTCTCCAATAATAGTCGCAAGATACAAGTGTGGCATTGATATGAAGACAAGTCTCATCCGACAGCAATTGTGAAACACCCCACCGAACGACAATGCAGCATCATGGTTTGGGGTGCAATTGCATATGATTCCAACTCACTTTTAGTTCCCATTTAGGGCACAATGACGACCTATACGTGAATGATGTTCTGCGGCCGGTGATACTTTCCTACATTCAGGGAGTGCCCAGTGCCCTTTATCAGCAGAATAACGCCCGATCACCCATTGCCCGCATCAGTTAACATACTCTGCAAGGCACAGAGATGCTTCCTTGGGTACCGTTCTGTTCTTATCTATCACCAATCAAATGCATTTGGTATGACTGAACGCCATCTCAGTTTTTTAGAAGACTGAATGCCATTTTTTAGAAGACGAACTGTGACAAATGGTTGACAGGGAATGGAGAGCCATTCCTGAGGACACCATCCGTAATCTCACTGACTCTAAACCTAGATGTGTTGCTTCATGTATTGCTGTCCAAAATGGTCCTTCAACTTATTTCCTGGGTACCATTCTTTCTCACCAATCGAATGCATTTGGTATGTGACTGAACAGCATCGCAGTTAAAAAAAAAACACACCCTACTAAGCCGACACTGTTCTTGTTCTAGATTATGCATATAATTGTGAAATAAAGGTTGCTGTATCTCTCTGTTTCCCGAATTCCATCACTTCCTGTCCACTCCTTCTTGGTGTTGCATTTTCAGACAGACGGATGGATGGATGGAGAGGAGGAGTAACAATACTAATAAAATATTTTAAACAAATAAAAGTTAAATTTTAATCAGGGAAACATGGAGGAATACATTTTTAATAACAGAACTAACTCTAAAATAAGGCATGGAGGCAAATTAAATTTTTAAACATGGAAGCATATAAATTTTCATGCTTTTATAAATATTTTTAATAACCATGTTAACCCTAAAATAAGACACCCCTTATATGTTAGCATTAATTTTAAGAAATAAAATTGTAGGTGAACATTCAAAGACAGCTTGGTTCTGATTACAATTCTTTCGTTTCTACTTAGAGTGAAGAGTAAACTACCTCATAAATACAATATTTACGACACAGAATAATTAGGAAAAATTAATGATATATCATTACTTATTTGTTGTCATGCATTCTAGTAGCCAGAATAGTGGATGTAGGCTTAAACTGAAATAGCTCAGCTAGAGGTGGCTATTGTAATTAGCGGTAGTTATGCAGTTTATATCCCAAGTAGCAGAAGACATTGCAAAGACCTTGCAAACTGGTCCGAGAGGTTGAAAAGTGGTCGTGGTAACTTTACAATGTTGCAAAGACGCAGAATATTTGCCGTAGCATCTTGGCAATTTATTGACGTCGCCTAAACGTCATGATATGACTGCTTTTAGACGTGGTTGTTTTAGCATTTTTTTCAGTTCATCAGTGTTACTTTTAGAATGAAAAGAGACTAAATCTGCCCTTTTTAAGAATCTGAAGTCTGCATAAGATTTATTTTGCAATGTTTCATTACTTTATTTCATCTAAATATATTAATCTAAGGTAGATTCATCTAACAAAATATAAATTTAATATAAATACTTTTGAATTATTAAATTTAATTAGTACTAAAAATACGTGCTAAATTATTGTTTAAAATAATTATTGTTTTTTATAAATATTATAGCAAAATATTTAAAAATGAAACTAACCTATAAAGTAAGTTATAAAGTTATGCATTTTATATATTTAAAAAAATCATAATTTCCGAAATCAGTGCAAATGACATGTTAGCAATTATTTCACTGCTGAAATATGACTTTATTTCTTATTTCTGAAGTAAGGAAGAATTTATTTGAATTAATATGCTGACATAATATGAAACATTTTACCACACACAGAGCAAAAAGTACAATTTTCGCGAAGATATGATTGTGCATGAAGATGTATTCACGGATATAAATGGGGTGATTTTAAGAATTCTGAGAAAATGTCCAATTTTAAAAGACAATACATATTTAATGGCTGTCTAATATATATGATGGAAAACTCACCGACAGTCAAGAGAAGCAGAAGAGAAAAATTTATGGAAAAGGAGAAAGAAATATGAACACTTTTAATGGAAAACAACAAAATTAATGGCTTTGTTTAAACCTAGTATACGGTACACTCGGAATTTGGCAACATTGACATTACAAATGTTTTAGTGAGCCCGATAAATATTTTTTTGTAAATATAATCTTGTGAACATTGTTCGTAGTTCTATTCAGTTGAAATATTTCTTTTAGGTCATTTAAAAAAAGATTCTATTAAATTAACAGAACCATCGAAAGGTTATACTATATTATGTATATTATTTACTGGCTGATTATATAAATGAACTTCTGAGCTCGAGGCTTGCGCACTTTGGCTAGATGCCAAATTCGAACAACTGTGCAATTAATTGAGATTCCAGCAGTTTTTTTCAAGTAATTTGGTAAAGATGCCATCTGTAAGGCATTTGAAAAGATTGACTTCATGTTTGAAATTGAATCAATCAATGACTGATATAAATAATATTGCTCATATTAAAAGTAAATGTAATGCACTGTCAATCAAAAAATTCACTGTGAATCTTATCATTCCTATCTACTTACTTCAACTGCCTTCAGCGAGTGAATTTGCATTGCTGTGAGCTCCTGTTTGGAAGGCTCTGAATTGAGGAGAAATCATCGTAGAAATGCCGAATTTGTGCTTATTTTGTTTGTGAATATCTGCTCTACAAGAAGACACCAAAAGTTTGGATAGATCATTTAGAAAATATCAGATGCAATGTGCTCCAATGCTAATCATGAATATAGTGTTCTGGTGTTTTATGTGTTTCCGGTGATTAAAGTTATATGGTAGTTGCTGTTCTCTAATCTTCAATGGTTCCAGCAGTGCAATATTTGCATACATGGATTAGCGATTCATTTATAACGTCCTTAAGTGCTATATAGTATATCATTGTTAATCGATTATTGTGTTGGTGCTCAAAATTAATTCTTATAAAACCAAAAATAACATACAACGGTAAGGCATTTTCTGGTTTTGCTCAAGATGCAATCAATGCAGAAGCAACAACAATTCAAGCTGTTGTGGTATGTTCATTAGTTTCAAAATACAAAGAAATAATTGGACTGGCACCAGTACTTAATATGACTGCTGAAGATGAATTAGATATATGTCATAACAAGAACCAATACATTAAAATTAATAATAATGCCCATTCTATAGTATGTTGTCTTTTGTATAGTATGCAGAAAAGGTTAAAAGTATATGAAATGTATGATCGACAAGGACATAATAACAACGTTTTCACAACTGTTGTAAAAAGGTCGAATTCTGCGAAAATTTAGGTGTCGTTAAGACATCATGATACGATGCTTTCACAACTAAAATATAACCTAAGAAAGACACAATAACGACATCTGTGCAACAAAAACATCATCTGCAAGGACGTTTTTGCAATGGTTGCAAAACAGTGGAGTTTCGTAAACATCTGGGTGTCTTAAAGACGACCTATTGCAACGTTTCTGCAACGACATCCGCAATGAGTTTCCAACATCATTACGATGATGTCATGCTACTTGGGATATATGGTAATTACGTCTGTAATTTATTTAGTACTTAAACGGTGTAATTTGTCTACAGTATGATACTCTTGCTCTCATTCTACAATTTCATTTATTAAAATACCAGACTGTAAGACCCTATCAAATTTTAGAACAAAAATACAGCAAAAAAGGGTGCTTTTTACGAGTGAATACGATATTTCACAGGATTAATCTAACAGTAAAAAAAGGCTGTAAAAGTTTACATGCATATTTTAAAAATGATTCATTAAGGAAAAAATTCAAAATTATTTTCCATGCAAAATGCATGCAATATGCAATAAAAAGATATTTAGTTCTATTATCAGCTTCATATTTCACTGTGATTTTTTTAGAGAGCTTTGATATACTTACAGATACAGAATTATTTGCATCTTTGGTTGATTTCATATTTTTTCTAAAATCCAAGGATTTATACTGCTGGTATTGCTGGTGAGTGAGCACACTACATCCAGAGGCCTGGAGAAAGATTTCAGAATTTTTGTATGTGTCATTCAAGTTTGTAGATAATGATGCCTCTTTCTGTAACATGTTATGAGCTGCCGATTTAGGTCTAACAGATACTTTAGTAGGTGAATTTGCAGTCTTTCTGTGGGAAATTAATGCACTTGCTGTTTTGGGTCTTTGTTTGCTGCAAATTATGTCAGAACCAGTCTTCCCGGATAGGGATTTCTTAATAGATTTTTTATCTGATAAAGTAGTTTCTGACTGACTGGATGAACTGGTTTTAATGTTACTCCATTCATTCAAAAATTCTTCATACTTTAATAATCCTGCTTCGGTTTTAGGTAATAATGACCAAAACTTCTCAAACTAAAATTTTAGACAGGAAAATAAGTGAATTATATACATAAAAAAGACAGGAAAAAATATTAAGTGTTAAAAATATTAAGCTAACTGAAATAAAGTTTAATATGTTCATCTGTTTCAACAGTTAACATTCCAGAAAGCGTAAACTTAGTACTTTTTTCACACATATTTAGTATATTTCTTTCACACAAATATTAAAAAATGTACAATATTTGACAATGCAATGTAAGTAATGTTAAAAAATAAAACATTCAGAAAGATGTCTCATCATTAATAGTAAAACAGATATATGCAAGCATAATGTTTTAAGTACTGTAATACAATATGATTGATATTCAAAGATATCCAACTAATTTCATATGCTGCGGAAAATATACTATCAAATAATTAGCTCATTAACAAATAATGAGAATAAAAAAAAACATTTATTAAAACATGCACATATGGATGAATATAATTAAGCCTGGAAATTCATTTCACCAACTAACAAATATTTTAAGTTACTTTAACAGAAATAAATCGAAAGGCTATTCACAGTCAAAATTCATATATCATATACTATTCGCCGGTGAAGTTTTGAGACAGTTTCACGTTAAGTTGCTCTGTGTAGCCTTTGGCTATTAGTTATTTAAATTTAGCTTTAAATTTGACATATTACTTTGTGAGTTTTTCACAATAAAGGATGATGTATTTGTAAAGGAGTGCCTTTTGTTCAGCTATTTAGTTGTAAATAAAATGGGTCTTATAAACCCTTCTTTTTCTTTTTTTTCTAAATCGAAAGTAAGTACTTTCGACTTAGCGATAAGTCGCTTAATGTCTGCCAAAAGTTTGGTTAAAATTTATGATAGCTAAAATGATACCTAAACTCTACACATGAAATAGAAAAACAAATAAAGAAATACATCAAGATAGAATAAAGGAATAGAAAAATAGAATAAAGAAATACATCAAGATATCAAAAACATATATTACAATTTGAACAATATTAAAAGAACTATTAGAAAAGACTGCAATTTATACTTGCTGTAAATTTCATTATTATAAAATTTTACTTTGGATGCAGGTGACAGAGTACATAAAAAGCAGAATTAGAAATTCTGCAATTAATACATTATAGATCATTAGAAATATAATTTTATTTATCACATTTATGATAAAAAATAACACTTATTAGAAAATGTTATTAAAAAGTACAAATAACTTAACTTTTAGTAAATTATGATTTCTTATTCCTAAGCAAACAGAATTATTTTTTCCAAATAAATCAGCAATTACCCAAACTTCTTCATATATATTTCATTGTGTTCTTGTAAAGCAAAATAAAATACATACCTGTTCATCTGATACTTTGAACACATATTTCTGCAATAATTTGGATAAAATTTCTTTTTCAGCAACTCCAGTATTACAACTATCATTAATTTTAAACTCTTTCAGGAAGCAGGTTTGGTATCTTCTTACAGCTTCTCGAATGCTTTCAATCATTTGATTAAACTCAGATTCTTCCATAACTTTTATTTCTTTATTGACAAGTTTATTCACATTCTGTATCCATTTTTCTCCCTCCTGTTAACAGTTTTAATAATATAATTTAGTAAAATATACAGCACTTAAAAGTAAAAAAGTGAAAGAAAATTAGAGTCTGATATCAAAATTATTCGTACATTTTTATTTTTCAAAATTATTCAAAATCATTAGGATTTAACTAAAGCCATTTGTTATTATTTGAACTGTTTATATATTTGTACAATATAAGAGACTGGTGAGTTAAAAAGAGATATCAAAACTTGCATTTACATTAAAATTATAACCAAATTTTAGTTGTGAATACAAATTATGCCTCAAAACTAATAAAACAAAAACAACAACAACAACAACAAAAAAAAAAACCTGAAAAAAAAAACTTTTAATTGAAATAAGATGTACAGAATTAAGAGGAAGCTATATGCACATCTGAGATAAATTAAGAATGTATATTTTAATTTGGTCATATCATAACATATCATGATGAATCACAACACATAAATGTTCTACACAATTCTTTACTTTATTCAGTTTGCTAAACCCTGTAAAATGGAACTTCTAAAATATTGTTTTCATTTAAACTTTAACCACAGAGACTTGAGAAGGTTTAAATAACCTTTTTTAAAAAAATTAAATCAGATCTTTAACATAAGCGCGCTTTTCATGCTAACAGGATCGAATACCACTTGTGGTGATGTAACTTAAAGTAACAGTCAAATTCAAAAGTTAAACTAAGACTACACAATTCATTTTTAACTCTAAGTTGGTTCAGAACTTCTCTACTGGAGTAACAACTAAACGTCAGCAGCAATAATGCAAAGCCGAAGATTTATAATCTTATCAGAGCTGGCAAAACCTAGAAATGTGGCCTCAAGAGGCAGAAACATGCTCTGTCTTACAATCCAAAAACCTCAGCTTAAATAATTTCTAACTGATTTACATTTCTGGTGAGCAAACAGAAAGGAAAAGTGATAGTAAAGGCTGAAATTATAAATAACTGGTTAATGCAATATAATAGTAACTGTACAATTCGCAAAATAATTCAGACACTCCTCATTTTTGTTGAGATGTTTTTGTAGGCAATATTTCTTGTTAAAATTCTTTTTAATGAAAATATGTTACAAGAATTATCATCTGCCTTTGAAATTTTTATTTCTTTAGCAGAATATATTACAGTTTCAAGTCTGAAGTGAACATGGCAAGACACTACAAATTAACAATCAATTCTGTGAGAAATGTAGTAATTTATCTTTTTTAAAGATGGTAAAAGTATTCGAAACATCCAAAAGACCCTTCATATGTTAAGTGTTTAAACGTTGGTTATCTTTGATGTAATAAAACAATGCAAACTGGATGGGGCTGTTGAAAAGGCACTGCTGTTTGGAATACAATCCAAGCTAACATCAGGGAATCACAAATTTATTATATGAAAAATCAATCAATACCTAAAAATTAGCAAATTTTAAAACATTAAGCAAATTTAGAATAGTTGCAATAAAAGTTAATCCTGAAGCTTTTAGAAGAATCATGAGGGTACAAAGGGCAGTCAGCAAAATGGAAATTATTCGCCTACCAGAAAACAAGGAAATACACTTATCATTCTCAAATCATATATATTAATATATATATATATATATATATAATATATATATATATATATTATATATATATATTAAAAAAAAAAAAAAAAAAAAAAACATTATCATATTGGAACAAAGTTGTAGTTGCAGAAAATGCAAAATTAAATATATTTGGATCCACTAAATGAATTAATAGGTAGTAAGATCCAAATTAATTGTAAGCACAGATGTAGAGGAAAAATCGTTTGAGGAATGTTTTTCCACTTTTATGTAGGAAAGTGAACGTTCATCAAAAGTAATATGGGTTGCGATAAATATGTAACTATTCTTAATGAAAACCTAAAAGTGTCTACAAGAAAACTTGGAATGCAAAATATATTCAAGTTCCATCATAATATTGATCCTAAATATACAGTTCTAAACGTTCGCTCATTCTTATTACACAACTATCTTGAAGTTATTAGAACTTCTTTGTATTCTTCAGACTTAAATCCTATGGAGCATATATGGAATACGTTGGAGGAAGAATATGGAAACATGACATTTCTTTGAAAGCTCTACTATATGCAATTCCTATGGAGAAATAGAACATTCTTACATAAAATAAATCATTTGAAGCTATATCAAAGTGTAATTTTAGCTAAGGGATATCCAACAAAATATTGCATGTCCCATCATTTTCATGTTTTTATTAGGTATAAATTTATTCAAAGTGCCTGAATACTTAAGCAAGTTCATTTTCAGAACTTTTTGAATATTTTTTTTTTTTTCCCCCAAAACCTTTTTGAATAACTTTTAAACTTTATTCCAAAGGGAGATTTATTTGAAAAAATTCTTTCTTTGAGATTAGAGAATGTGAAGATATCAAATACTTAAAATAATTCTTAAACCACAATTACAATATGATTAACTTTACAGATAACATTTTAAAAATAGCAGTACATTACAAGTAAAAATATAATTTTGAATATTGTGAATAACAAGTTGAATTTTTATTATAAATGCATGACTATGAAGATATATGTTAAAATAGCCATTAATTACAACCTGCTGCAAAATTTTGATCATTACACCATCAAATACAGCGAAAAATATTCTTTCAATGAAGGTTTTATGGGACTTCTAACGTTTTGAACTTTGGTGGTTTTTCAAAAAATTTCCCACTTTTTTTGTGTGTGTGTGTGTGTGTTTTGTTTTGTTATTAGGCATTTGTTAAAGTGATGAATTTTAAAACCAAGAAATTCATTCTTCATTCTTAGTATTGTCCATGATTTTAAATGATGATGAAAAATAATAAATAAAAGAAGAAATAAATTAATAGAATGCTATCTTGAACCAGATTAAAGAGAATAATATTTCTTCACTGAGAGGTAGTTCTTTCTTTATTATTTTTCTTCCTTTTGTAAATGAGAAAGTATGAAACAAACCATATAAAAATGCTTTTCAAATTCCATGATTTCAATGAAGTGCCCTTAAAAATTAAAATTTTTAGTAATCATAATATTCTTGAATATCCATGATTAAAAATAAAATTTCAGGGCTTCTGTATATGAATTTTAAAGGACAATAACAGAATTTCCTGCAACAATGGAAGTGTTTGTATAGAAATGAAATGACATACTACATAAGAATGCTGCCATTTAATTCGCATAAATTTTTCTCCTACAGCTTTGAAATAAAACTTGCCATTGTTAGCAGATCCATGATATTAATTTTGGACATGTATGATCAAGAATGTTATTTGTTATACATAAAAAATAATAATTTTTTACTTTTTGGTGTGTTTGATTAAACCAGCATAATTAAGAGAAAAAGCTTTTTTACATATTTTTATTTAATAAATCCACTTTAAATTAAAAAATAAAATAAAATAAAAATTTAAATAGATATAATGAAAATAAAAAATTAAACAACTTTGCTGTCAAAACGTGGAAGAAATTTAAAAAAAAATTTAACTTACTTCATAAGGACTCTTCTTATAAAGATTTATGAAATCTTCATAAAATATTTTATTATTAATCACTGAAATGCCCTTTATGACCTCATGGAATTGACTTTCAGATAAAGGAAAGCAAAAAGCATCTAAAGTTTTCTTTAATTCTGTAGTATTCATATATCCGGTTTCTTCACAATCAAAAGCATTAAAAGCCTTTAAAAACATAAACGTTTATAAATATATAATACCAAAGCACTTCCATATAATTAACAGAATGAGTGCAAAAATGAAAATTTTGTCATTCAGGGTCAAAATATGTATAATGTACACTGCAAATGCATGTATATGCAATTTTACCTTTTCTATAGTTTTAAAATTTTTGTTGAAATATTTTTTGAGTTCAGATCTTATTTTTTCCCCACATAATGTCGTACGAATATTTTCATCAAGTTTTTCTTTCTTATCCTCTATGTTTAGAGATTCACTTGGCAAATCCTTAAAAAGAAAAGGAATATTACTTGTATTTTTCCCATAAAAGGCTTTCCATAAAGAGATGGAGAAATGAATTTAGAAAGCTTTAGAATTAAATATCAGTTAATATAAACAACTAATGAAAAAAAAAAACTATTGTTTAATATCGGTATACAGGAAGTTGAAAAAGTAGCAATAATCTTTATTTCTTTAAATATTAATCCTCAATGTAGACTTCTAATTTTTTTCCTAAATAAGAAACAAAATTTCATGAAAACTATTACAACAGCATTCATAAAAGATGAAGGATTTGGGGGTAGGGGGAATCAGACTTATTTTAAGCTCTTGTAGAAGAAAAATTCACATTAGTAAAATATTCATTTTATTTTTATTGGCTTAAAATAAAAATCTTATAACTTTACATACAAACATTCCCACAGATATATGAAGACAGGTTTACTAACTCGGATCTTTTACAGTACATCAAATTTAAATTCTAGAATTTTAAGAACAAATTTAGGGTGCAATTAGAAAACAGAAGTTGTATGGCAGCTAATTGTTCTACCTTCAGTAAAACAGTCATTAAATTTAGAACTGTACATTTTGGAGAAAGAATAAAACTGCCTTTGAGTACAGCAAACTTAAAATTTTCATGGAACTGGTAATCTAGGGGATATTTTCACATTTTTAGAATGATTTTGATACCATTTAATTAATGTTTAAAATGCAAAAAGTACTTTTTTAATGTTCGATCTGATAGCCTTTATCCTAGACTATAAGCTTGCAACAAGATTTACCATGACAGAAGGACTCTTCATAAAATTACCAGGGATATTGATTTCCATTCCCCTTTCACAACTTTCCAGATACCATCAATAGGGGTAGAATTGCCTAGAAAGAGCTCCCTTCTAAAGACCAAAGACAAAATGGTGCATAAGTGAAACATCAGAGGACTTCGCAGGAATATGTTAAAAAGTTATATATGCGATGCTTGTATCAGTCTTCAATTTTTCAAGGAATAAAGTGGTACTTTTCAAAGTATCACTTGTTGCTTTGCCTTGATGAAGTTTCACCCTTTGAAAGTCACTGGGATAAAGAAATGGCATTTCTTCGGTAAACTTTCTCTTTCTTTTGAGTTGAAATTGATATTTCTTTCTATTCTTCTTATTTTTAATTTCTCATTGTAAGAAAATCCTGGCACACTCATAAACTCTTTCCTGAAGCTTTCTTTGCACTGAAAGAGCCAGGTTTGTACACGTTTTTCTGTTTATTAATGGTCACAAAGTATTTCCATTTATCTCCTGCTAAATAGTTTTCATACAGAGTTCTACAAATTGTTCTGCAAGGAACCACATGCCTAGGCAAACTGTATTTTTAACGTTTTTACGTTGTAAATTTTGGTTTATTATTTTATTTACTGTTGCACTTATTTATTTTATTTGCATTTATTGTTTTTTATTAGTCCAAAGGGATTTGAATCCCGAAGGACTTATTAGTTTCGTTTTGGCATTTTGCGTCGGACTCATAAATGTCGGTTCACTTTTCAAACTGTTGCCACAAAATGTTAGAGACCTGCATTATATTTGAAGAAATTAAATAATGAAAAATCTGCATAAATGTAGTATATTTCTCGTATTGTGATAAAACAACGGTACATAGAGTCATCGAATTTTGAATAACATAATCCTCCAACGAATATGAGCATGTGGAAGACCAAATTTGAAATTTGTTTTATGATCGATTTCCTATCTTTTAAAACTTTGACGAATTTTTGATTAACAAACTCAAGGATTTCAAAGCGAGCAATGGCAACGTTGTGCAGAAAAAACATTTTTATCTCCAGCGCGCGAGTCTCTGTATCGGAAATTCTAAAGATATGCTCGTTTTAAAACTATTTTGCGATATTGCTGTTGCACTGGATCTTATGGTTTAAGTGCGAGGAACATGATATTTAATAAAGAAAGGTAACACACAAAATGTTAAAAAACGCCCCTTTGGACATAATTTAAAATCTGAAACATTTCAGATTTTTTTTTTTTATTATATTTATTTCATTTATTGTTGATGTATTTAAATACTTTGTAATTGATTTCTGTGTTGGTGGATTTTTTCTTGTTAATAATGTAATTTAAATTGATTGAAATCATTGACCCCATGCAATCATTTTGGGAAGAGAGAACGGATATGTCACATATCTTTTTTCAAGTACCCGTTTGGAGTCATTTTTCCATGTAGAAGTAATGATTGACGGTTTTTCCCCTTTCTGATTAATTATGTTGCTTATTGTGCACTTAAAAATTTTAATACCATGCATTTCATAATGTTTCTGAATGAAGGAACAGAAATATTTCTCTTCGGAAAGCACAATAATGTATTTTTTAATTTAAATTAGAAGCTATTAGATAAGATTAAAGAAAAATCCAATACTCTTCAACAAAATACATTGATAATAAACAGCTGATTAAAATGATACTTAAATAATGCAAGTTGAAATATATATCACTTTGATATAGATAACATTTTTAAAACTGTTGTAATTGATTATAAGCCCCCCAAAAAAGTCTTAATCGCAATGAACTTATTCATAATATTATTATAGGTTATCAAAAAATATTTAAAATCGCAAAATATAAGGTAAAGATATGTTCATAATTAAAAATAAGTAAGGCCAATAAAACCAATTTAAGTCATTTGCAAAATATTTTGCTTGCAGGGAAAAAGTAATACTATAATTCAAATACCTAAAACTGCAATGAATTAATGGATAAACGGTTTCCACCATGAGTTATATGAACTCACTGTTGTATGATTAGTAACAGATCTACATATTCAGTTAAAATGAATAGTTAACTTACTACATATTACACATCATTATAGAAGCTTCATCTGCATAACTTACTATTCAGGAATGTGCAGTTCTTGGAAGCACAAAAAGTATACATCTATAAATACATAATGGCAATCATATATTTTGCATTATATCACTGATGAGTTCTTAATATAAGGAATTAATTAACATTGTTAATTATTAAAAAAATTGTAACCTGAAATTCAGATAAAAATTTTTTTAGTTTGAGCTACAAATGTGGCAATTTATTATAAATGAGAACAATCTTTAAACGTTATTTCAACACTTAATATATATACACACAGAGCGAGAAAATAAATATTGCTTCTAAAATTGATTCACTTCTCCCTTATATATGAAAATATTTCAAAATTGTGCAGATGCTTAACTGAAATCTGTATACTAACATCACACTTCAATTTCTTTATAATGTTATTTTTATATTTTTTAACTTTTTGAAACTTTTATGGTAAATGTTCTGAGATGTTAGACCCTAATCTGAAGTTTTCAAACTGTACTTTTTATTGCATCGTTTTCTTAAATAATTTATCTACTCCAATTAAAAACAAACTTAAGTGTATTGTTTGAGCAAGTACATACACATACTAATTTAAAATAATACTTAGCTTAATGATAGCATTACTCCTTAACTGTGATTAGAGAGAATTAGAGAAAACTCACTGATTCAACTGTATTCAGTAATGATAAAAATTTCTGGCAGTCAACAATATTTGTGTGTCCTGGATCTAATATCAACATCAGTGCTCGAAATTCATCTTCAGTTAGAGGAAATAGCAGACACTTGTTAATCGTGTTACGCAATTCAGCACGAGTAATTTTCATATTATTTTTCTAAATAAATAATAATTTGAAAGCAAGGTAAATGTTAAGCAGATACATCTTAAAAAAAGCAAACACAATCAAAATTGTATTCTTGCACAAAAATCATTTCTTAAAAGTACACATATTATTTGCAATATTTAGATCTTAATTAAAATCTGAATACAGAAATTTTGACTAAGAAACAACTTCTTTAGCAACTTCTTAGCAACCCACTTCCATTTTTCATTTCTTGCATACTTAAGCCAGATTTCACGATCTTTACATTTCTTTTATTCAATTATGCACAGTGTTAAATTAAAGGATGCAGACTATTTATTGTATCATATTAGGTTGCAGAGACATTAAGATTTTTGAAGCAGGGTAGTTGAAAAATGTGCAATTTCCTTGTCTGGATTCTCAAATATATGCCGAGTGTGCTACTGTTACGCTACAAAGGAAAGCAAGAAGGAGGGAGAAATACCTTATAAGTTACTTCTGAAACAGATATCTCATACATACAAAAAAGATACACATTAATGTGATTGAAACAAATTCTTCCATTATAAATCTAAAAATGTTATTTCCTGTATATACAGGGTGAATCAAAAGTGTCTGGCTCAAATGTAAAACCAGGTAGAAGAAACCAAAATAAGCATGTTTTGTAATGTAATAGGTCTGCAGAAATGGCATATTGAGGTAATACAGTGTGCTGTTGAGTGGTATGTAAAAGTATTCTACTGGTATAAATTGTCATTCTGTAATTCAAGTGGAATGCATTCCCTATAGCAACACAAACATAGAGCTCACCAGCATGCATTTGATCTATGAAGCTGCAGATGGAAACAGAGCAGCTATTCGAAGGAGGTACTCGGGAATCGTTCTCAATGTATATTTTACACAAACAATGGTTTATAAACTTAATATATAAACTTACTTTTCTATTCAAATTAATTTTAAATTTGGATGCTTTATTATTCCTAAATTTAAACCAAAGTAGAACTTATATTAAAAACGACTGCTGAAACACTTGACAATAATTTAAATGACATTTTTAAAACAGGTTTTTAAAGATGTCCATAACTGAAATATAAATAAATATTTACCGATCTGAAAAGGATTAAATTTGTGTTGCTTTATAATAAAAGTTATTTAAGCCCAATAAATTGTTCTAAAATTAGTAACACACAGAGATAATTAATCCAAGAATATAATTAGTGATTTCCACAATTAACCAAGAAGTACGCTGAGATTTTAAAAGATTTTATCTCAAATTAGAACTTGACAATTTAAATATTAGCAAAAATGCCAAGCTATAATATTTTCTCACCAAAGTACTTCATATTGTTTACATGTAGTAAATTAAAGTTAAATATTTAATCTGATTACAACCAGCTTTCCATCTGTGGAAGTTCAAGATATTACATTAAACATTTCAGTAAACTGAAATTAACTCAAATTTGCTATGAGTGTAGAATATTTCAAATTTAAAGAGACTTGAATCTCAGCAGCTTTGTCTCCACACAAGTGAAGTTTTACTTTTTTCCAATAGCTGAATCAATGATTTTTACAATTTTTTAGCTGAATCGATGATTTTTGAGTTTATCAGCTTGTGACATGAACATAGAAGAATATTAAGTATGAAGACTTCAAAATGTAATTTTTACTATATTTGTTCACAGCTATTATTGAAACATTCCCAGAGCCAACATAACATGTATAACAATTAATTTAAACATAATATTAATTTTAAAACAGATTTGAAAAATTTTTAAATTTCTTGCAGCTTGATTATTTTCACATTTAATAGAATCAATGTTGAATTATAAGATAACAGTTGTTTCAACTGACAAATCACAAAACAGTATTAAGTAAACATGTATAACATTTTGGAATATGCACAGAATCAATATAAGGAGGTTATATCAAAATTTATAAAATCATCCAAAATAACATTCGTGATTTCTTAACTGGTATAAATGCTTACATGGTTGTGCATAATAAATGAATGCTTAAAAAAAGTTTCAAAATTTTTACAGTTCTTCTTAAGTTTTAAAATCACAGACCTACAAACATTCCAACTGAAAGACCTATTAAAAAAGTAGTAGTTTATGAGCTGGGGTGACATTAAATTTAAATAATTAAAAGAATTATGATATAGTTTTATAACATTTTATATCAGAACAAGTACTTACTTTTTCATACATGAATCAGCTGCCTGACTGTTTTCCTCACCACATACAAGCTTCAGAAAGAAATACCAAGGGATTTTATTTTTTACAGGTGAGAATTTAAAGCTGTAAAAAATTAACATGTAAATACAAAAGTCATTTAAATACTTATTGAAAAGCATTATAAAATTTCACTGTCAATAAAATACTGTAAACATAATTTTTTTTAGAATGAAATGCCTAATATAATCATACAGTTACAAAATTTCTTTTCTTAAAAAAATGCCTAATAGGTACAAAGGAAAAGTTTTCTGGCTATTTGGTCTCAGCTACGTACCTCAATATTATTTGCTTAAATAATTCAGATGACATTGGCATAATGAAATAGTTCAAAATTTGATGGAAAACAGAGAGAGGTAATAACCCACAACCACTCATATCCTTTATTTGAAATGCATGTAACAAAATGGGAAATTTTTCTTTCACCTGAAACATTTAACTTTTTTAAGAAATCTTCCAAAACAAGAAATAGTAACAAAAAATAATTAAATGTTTATGAACATTGCAAAGAAAATTTGAAATGACTTTAAGTTTTGATTTGTTTTACCATGAGAGAAACATGAAATTGTAGATGTTTAAGAAAGGAGACTGAGTTAAAGGAAATATTGATAATAATATTGAGCAGAATTAATTTAAAATATAAGAATTTATTATACAACAATATCATTTACCTTAAACTTTAAAATATAAAATCCTAAGAAACCAAACTTCTTTAACGCTTAAAAATAATTAACTCGCTGTTAATATCATATGGCAGTATAAATAGTTATGTTGACTATTTTGGGATTACTTTTTTAAAAGAAACAAAGATACTTTTGAGATTACAGAGAAATAATTTTTCAGGACCAGCACTTAGTTTTACAGCTCTGTTCTAAAATATACAAATAAACTAAATGGCAAGACATTGTTTTATAGTAAAATGATGTTATTCTTATACAGACATAGAAAAGTAATTTAATGAATATTTTAAAATATTTTTATTTTCTAAAATATAACTTTTAAACTAAATTGATTGAAATATATACCACAAACCATTCTCCCTAAGATTTTAAAGAAACAATTTAAGTGAATAATTAGCTTTTTTATTATCTTACTTCAGGTGAGAATATTTTGCCTCTTTTATCATCATATGGCCTTTTATTGGGAAAAATGAGTTAAAATTACTGAAACAACCATAATATAAGCATTTGATTAATTATTTGAATTGCAATAAATACCACATTGTGAATTTAGAAGTAAATAACATCATCTACACCTTCCCTCAAAAGTAAATTTATTCATATTTCTCTAATCCTAAACATTAAAAAATTAAAATTAATAAAATAAAATAACCTTTTGTTTAAAAGCATTAAGCACATTATTGAAATGCTGGCCTTGAATTTCTGGATCATCTCTTCCAAGTTTAGCATATCTTTTTCTCAGCTGTTCTTGCCTGTTACTGAAGAAAAGTATAATGTAGTCTTGATATTTTTATTTAACAAACCTCCATTTATTTTTCTTTTCAATTAAAAGATAAAAAAATAAGTTCCTCCTACAAGATTAGTAAATTAGCAGAGAAAAGAAAGAATAACTCAGTGAAAGAGAATGGAATTGCATAGGATCAGATAATATAAAAATAACTGTGTATGGAAATTTACAGCATTTTACACAGGCATAAAAATAAACATGTCAAGATAAACTTTGATGACTAGAAAATCATTTTTCAATGGAAGAAGCTGAAAATATTTTACAGGACACAGCATGTATTTTCTACTTTATGAAAAAAAAAATATTATGTGGTGAATATTTTGTTCATTCATAACAATTACTTTAATGCTTACATAACAATTACAGTATTACCCTGGACATATATATTTTTCCTAATTTATGCCCTTTCTTTTTCTTTAAACTCGTATATTGATAATATGACAGGTTCCAGAGAAGTTATTTAGTATGACCAAATATCCATTGTTTAAAAAATACACATTAAAAAAAATCACAATCTGATAACTTCAGATTATGAAAGTCACAGAATTTACCTTTAAAATTTCAAAAAATTGGTAAAAAATTTTAAAAAAATAACAATTATAAGATTGAAAAGAAACTGCAATTTGATTCTGATGTGTAGATTTCAGTTTTAACCTCTGAAACAATTTTAAGCTAAGCAGTTATGATAGGCCTACCATTAGTTTAAGGAGTAGTCACCCATAAATTAGAGAATATGAAATCTTATATTTAAAAATGAGCTCTTCAAACTTGTGAAGTCAAATATTAGAAAAAATTTTATGGCATTACACCATTGCAAATCAACATCAAAAGGAGACTTGGATATTTAACGAATAAAAAAAAAAACTTAATTATGCAAAATGTCGCTATGCATTAATTTCGTTGTGTCACTTGTACATAGTTACATACAACATTGCAACCAATATTTCCCTCAAATAGAAATAGTTTCTATTCGGTCAGAATACCAAACCCATGAACTCAAAACAATAAACATTTAAAAAAAAGTGTCCTTTAAAGTGGACTTTGTTAAAGTGTTAAAACTAAATATATATATACTTTTTTTAGTTTTAATATTTTATAAAAGTTTTTTTCTCACTATTACAAAAAATGAATTTCATATAAAAATTATTTATTGCGAAAAGAAAAAAATCACCTATAATTACGTCAACTTTATAAATGCATCTTTATAATTTCATTAATATTGTTTTGACTGTGTAATGAAAACAATCAATGTCATTGCTTTTTCTTCTAATTTCTCACATGATTAATATATAATAAATGACGTTTACATTTGCCTTAATATCAGACACCGATATAGGACACATTGCAGTATTTAAGCACTTAAGATAAACCTAAGGATTGTAACCACAGTACTAGAACATAGAATCCATAAGCACCAACAAAAGAAACTTGATATAAAAATGATATAAACAAACCAGATTTAAGGCTATTATTTCTAAAGAAAACAAATTTCTTTGTATTTTATTATTTATACATAATTTCAAATAACATATTTTTAAAATCTGTAGTCTTAAAATCATTGTTAAATATATTCAGAGAAAGTTGTGTAACAATTTTAGGTGCTTCCAAAACAGAGTCGATAGAAAATTTTAGGTTAGTTAACTTTAAAATTTTTGATATCATTCTATCAGTATTGTCAATTAAACCCTGCTTTTTTGTGCAGCTGAAAACAGATAAATGCAAACATTTTTTAAGATTTTGCTTAACAAATACTATCAACTTATTTATATTTTATTAGCTATACTTCACATGATGTACTTATTTCAAGTGTATCTCAAATGATGTACCATATTAACTCAAAAATAAGACCCCCCACTATTTTTGGCAATATTTTTATTCTAAAACTTGGTAAAGACATAAACAGGTAGTTTTATAAATAAAATAGCGAAATAAGAGGAAGTCATTTATGTATGACACTAAAGAGCAGAGATTCTCAACCCGGGGGAATTTTATGGTTTCAAGCAAGGGTAGGGTTAGTGTCTTACTTAAATTTAAAAATGAGCTCTTCAAACTTGTGAAGTCAAATATTAGAAAAAATTTTTATGACATTACATCATTGCAAATCAACATCAAAAGGAGACTTGGATATTTATTGAATAAAGAAAAAAACTTAATTATGCAAAATGTAGTTATGCATTAATTTCGTTGTGTCACTTGTACATAGTGCTTGAAACCAATATTTCCCTCAAATAGAAATAGTTTCTATTCAGTCAGAATACCAAACCCATGAACTGAAAACAATAAACATTTAAAATAAATGTCCTTTGAAGTGGACTTTGTTAAAGTGTTAAAAACTAATATATATATACTTTTTTTTAGTTTCAATACTTTATAATTTTTTCTCACTATTACAAAAAATGAATTTCATATAAAAATTTAATTTTAGTTTATGAATATAAAAAAATTGCTTTTATTCAAGTTTTGGTGTTTATCAACATCTCGTACTTTTCCTAGTTTAATTTATAAAACTATACTGTTGTATTATCTTAATCTAATCAGTTATTTTATGTTTTCTAGACAGATTGCATGTATTTAAGCTGTAACACATACAGTGTTCTACCTCTCGAGACCACATTACTAGGTTAGCTAGCTCATATAATATTTGAAGTCTTTGGCCTTGTATTAAAACTGCCAACATTTGAATATCTATGCCAGTTACGTTTGTGAGCCAACTTCCCGTTAAATTTAATTATGTAGTCTTTAGACTACTAGCCTATTTTAAATTTGAACTTACTATTATTAAGATATCTCGCCATAAGTGCTGACTGATTTGTAAGACCAGGCATGCTTTCTGTTATTTAGTTTTAATAAAAGGGTCTTTTACACTCTTCTCAAGTTTCAGTTGCTATTTTAGACAAAGATAATTCACTGTCAGTCTATTTAAAATTTGGTTACAATTTATGATAGCTAAAAAGACTAAATTTCATAAAACACATTAAAAATAATCTAAATTTAAATAAATGTATATGTGTTTTTTTTTAGTTTTGGAATGGATGGAGGAGGAAATGATCATCTAACAGTGGTGAAAGGGGTGCATGTAGTAAAAAAGGTTGAAAAGCACTGTTATATGAAATAAAAATACTGTTTTTAAATATTAATTAAATAATGTTGATAATTACTATACATGTAAATTGCTAGTTCTAATAGATATGTTTAACTGAGAGTTGCAGGCTGGGCCAGCATCCAAATAGGCTGCTAGTATGCCAGAAACAAATAAGCTACAATATGTCATTAACAGTATCCTTGAGACAGCAGTCCAGACCATATGGTGGTTAGGGAAGCCTACTGCAGCACCAAAGGGCCCGGCTTCGAATCCCAGAAATCCTTGTAGCATGGTTGTAACTGTCCGTCCCTTCATAGAATGCAACAGTGGCCACCTATTAAGTGACTCCACAATAAAATGGTCCCCACATCTGCTCTTAGGAGCAGCCAATGCTGAATAGGTGAGAGTCCAACATTAGATTAAAAAAAATATCCTTGAGATATAGCTGTCATTTCAATTAAATTCTAAAAAATGAAGCATTTACTAAGATTCTAAATAAATATCCATCTAAATTTTTATTTTTAATAATTTATCACAAAATGCAAGGAGGATTTGTTTCTGAGAAAATGTGATGCTTGTTTAATAATCTTTTAATAACTTTAATAAAATGAAGAACATTTCATACCCTAACAGAAATAGCAGAATGCTACTCAATTCAATTGATACATTAAGAATTAGCTAATCTGATTCAGATTTCATCAAAATTAGAATCAGATTAGCTAATATGCTTTATGCTTAATCACATTCATCTTTAATATTCAACCTAATGTACTGAATCAGGTATCACATTTGCATTATTAATCTCCAATATCCAAATTTGTAATTTTATATAAATAACTTCCATTTTGAACATACCAGAAAAAAAGCCTCATCATTCATTAATATTACATCCAGAACTTTCATTATCACACCATTAATTATTTATGTATAAATTTTAACAGAGTGTTTATGAATAGTTATATTTATAAAATCACATGTAACAAATAGAAAAATTTCAACCAAAAATTTTTACATTCAACATTAAATAACAAATAGGGCTAGAAAATTAAATTGTGAAAATTTCCCACACCATCCACTTTCATCTTATCATAGCTCAGTCAAAGCTTTCAGAGGTCTTTCACATTTCCAGTGAAAACAAACATTTACATTTCTGATTTAAATTCAGAAAATGTAGAAATGAAATATATGCAATAAATTTACCATAACATTAAAACACATATTATATTAATAACAGAATCCCTTTCACAAAATGTAAAATTCATTAAAAATACTAAATTTTTTACCATAAAAATTTTTACATATTATCAGATCACCCTAGAAAACAAAACCCTCAGAAACTAGAAGAAAAACTAAAAGTAAGAAAATGTATGAACAAGCTTTGCTGTACTGAGAAACACTGAATGTTTAAGTGTTTAATAATGTTATCATCATTATATGAAAACAAATATGTATATAGTAAGAGATAGATCCAAGAATGAGAGGCAAAAAATATATTTCAACAAATGTAAAAGTCAGAAAATGACATTAAATAATATAATAGAATAAAACGACATGGAACTTGTAATATTTTTGGTTATCTTTTAGTAAATTATATCCTGATTTACATAGTTTAAAATATACCTAGAATAAGAATGGAAGGCAGGAGAATGGTAGTGTACTTTGGCTGCAACACTTGTGGACAGATAATGCTTGAATGATTCCGCACGTGTTCCTAATTTCAATAAAAATTCTTTATATTGTAAGGCTCCTTTCCTTTGAATATCATATGTATTCCAAAACCTTTTAAAAAAAAATTAGATGAAAGCAGTACATACCAGGGTAGGAGGGAATGATGCAAATTAAAGTGCACAGTGAACAGCACTCACAAAGGAACATATACCATTCATAAAGATTATTAAATCATGCAAAAATTTTTTTCAAACATAAAATATTCCAGAAGCATATCCTGAATACCCACGACTATTTTGATAATGACTATGATAACATTAAACAATGAGAAAAGTTGCCCTTCAAAATAGCAGTTGAATTTAATATAACATAAATATATCCAGAAACATATAAATATGTACTTTCATAGCATTTTAATTAGGAACAGGCAAAAATTTGGTAATGGACTGTTCATAACGTTTATGGAAATTCTTTGGATGATGCTGAACTCTAATCTTAATATTTCAAAAGTACCCCATGTTGAAAAAGAACAATTTTGCAAAGCCAATGTAAAATTAAAAATCAGGGGACAAAAAAGACAACTTCAGTAGATGTTTTTGAGATGGGTTTTTTTTTTTTTTTTTTTTTTCAGGGGGAAGGGAAAAGAAGGCAAAAAATTCTTTTTTTTCCACGGTTGATTGAAATCGAACTCAAGCTTTTTCGTTACTTAATCCCTTACTTTTGACACCTCTCTGTCATTTGCCAATTTTTATGATATGTTAAAACCAAAATTTAAGATAATTTTAATTATTATATTTTAAAAAAGATTTTACTGACTAAATACAAGAAATAAATAAATAAAGTAAAATTGTTTTAAGATATTTTTAACAAACAAAATTAGTGTAATGCATGTAAATGTATCACTTTCAAGTTCATTTAGTCTCAAACAAACATCAAATGATGAGTACACTAATTCAAAACACGTGCATAATCTAAGCAAATATGCCATAAAATACCATTTTCTTAAGAATCAACAACAGATTATCAAATGGGTAAATTTTTTATGGTAAAAATGCATCATTTTGTAGTGTTGAAAACCCTTATTTTATAATATAAATAAAAATGTTGCATCCTCGATACACAACCCAATCTAAATGTGACTTAAGTGGTAAATTATTAAATGATATATACGAAGAACACAGTGCGGGATTTAGCATTTTTCTTAGGCGGGGTGAAAACTTAAAATTGCCGCCCTTACCTATCTTTCTTTAAGTTTATGTAACAAATTTTAGTTTTTTAAATAAACATACAAATAGGTAGTTTTCGAGATAAAATATAAAATCCATTTCATAATAAGAAATTCTTTATGTACCATTTTTGTTCTAAAAGAAATATACATAACAAATGGTTTAGTTTCTTTACTTATGGCAAAGCATAAGAGAGCTACCTGCCTAAGAGGGGAGAGGTCTTTCTATGAGTAATTGGCTCATATGCAAGTTACGCATGAGTGAAACGGTGGAAACACCCATGCAGGCAGCTAATTCGCTTGATTCTAACCTCTGACTGAACTACCAGTGTTTAGACTTTACATCTCAGCCGCTGATGGCCGAACATACATACCAAAAGTTACATAATTAAAAACCCGTGCGAACCTTCTTAATGCAGTTACTTCTCCTGTGCACTGACATAATCAAATTTACATTTTTTCTGAAATGGGGATTTTTTCAATATTTGCAGAATACCTACTCTGCTAATAAAATGATGCAACAAAACGATTCAGAACTAAATACTAAAATAGTTTGCACAGCACAAAAATGGGAATCAACATTACTAAATAATAAAAAATTTCATTTAAACAAATATAAGCAAATTACAGATCACTAATACAATGGAGTGAATGATTTTGTACCAATTTCTCGATACTAACAGTAACTTTAACTTAGCACATTAAGTATTAATTTCACAACAATGCCTTCATGTAGCCTACTCAAGAACTCTACTATCGTCCTCACAAAGCCCGATAACATAATATTTACATATTTATGCAAAAGACTATTTTTGCACTGTAATAATCAAAATTACATTTTCTCTGAAATACGCAATTTTGTAATATTTGCAACAATAACTAGCCATACCACGACGGTAAGAAACAAAGGAGGGGCTAACCCCGCACTGCGAGTGAAGCACTGCGCCGAAGGCTTTGGTCTCCAGATGGAGTGTTTTTTGTTTACATTTAGAACGTCCCTTGACAGAGCTCGAAAAACGGGACACTTCCGCATAAAAGAAACATTCATTGTGTGATGGATAATAGCAATTCATATAGTTATGCTTATGCAAAATGTTATGTTTAAAGAAGATTTTAGCAAAAAGTTTGCTTAAAGAATGAAAAAAGTATGGTACCTTTAAAATTATATATGTCTTTCGATACCCTTCATTATCATTGTAACAAAAATAATCTTTAGTTACAAACAATAGATTAATAAGTTGGGAATAGATGAATTGATTAATTACGTAACTAACTTTTTCATATATACATACAACAATAGGGGCTACTGCTGAAAGGAAAAGGTTAGTATTTATACTTCTTTCATATCTATTTCAATAATAATTTTAAGAGTTTTTACCTAATGCTTTAAAAATGCGGATTAAATTTTTACTCTGCGAGCTTTTGTTCTCAAAAACTATGGCATCGCATAGTTAACTTGATGTATGTTTGATTTTCGTGCAGATTGCGAGACTTGATAAAAGCCCTGGCTCATCGATGATCTCTTAGTTTTTATAAAGTTTTGATTTGCTAAACCTTCGCTCACAGCTTGCGGATGTAGTCAGAAGCATAGAGTAAATCCACAATACAAATATTGTAAAAGGCATCCTGAAAATCATAGGTGTAGATCTGTTGCAAGAGATAAAAAGCTCCAGACTTTTCTATGTCGATGAATAACACTGGGGCTTGTTCTTGCAAGTTCCTGACAGAACTCAAATGTGTTTAGAGATCTCGCTCATATTTTCGTGAAAGTCCTGCTCCATTCTTTTGCAGTTCTTCAGTTGACATATTCAATATTTCACGCCCATTGGGAAATGGAAATCTGAATTTAGTGCATTTGAATCATGCACTCTCTGTGGATTTCAGATATTTCGTGCTCAGTTAAACTTTGCAAAGTTTTTTTCCAATTAGTGAATCCTGTAGCACACAATGCTAATGTAATGGCAGTGGCATGTTTCCAGTTAATCTCACGGAGTACAAAAATTGCATTTTTAGTTTTATAATATATAAGCCAAGATCTTTTAAAAGGCTTTCATTATTTGCTAATGTTCTGTGCCACAATGAAGATGTCAAATGTCTTCCATCACGTCCAGTGTACCTAAGGTCTACGTTGTTCCTGATTTTTTCGCATAATACAGCCTACTGCTAGACATCGTTGCTGATCATTCAGTTTTTCTGTGATTGGCCACTACCTGGGTCCGAACAAATAAACAAAGATTTTAAGTCTTTTTTCTTCTGTCCTCACAACCTAAAGGAGAAATACTTTATATCCTATCATTCTAGAGTTCGTTTGAGGTCTATTAAGAAAGTTGTTCTCTCATTTGCTGAAATGAATCATTTAGGATGACAGATAAGATTTTCATCTTGAGAATATCAATATTACTTAGAATCTTGACACCTCGCAGGGTCTGACGGTTAGTCTTTTCCGTGAAGCCATTTTTCATTTTTAGGCATTTGTTTTCTCTTTCGGTCCTATCTTTTGCTCTGGTTCTATATTCTGCCCTTGAGAGTTTTTCTAGCCGTCACTATTTCTGCAACCCTAAAATATACAGTATATTGAATAATAAGAAAGCTAAAATTGACGTATTACATTCACAGTATTAGGACGCATTGCGGACTCGCGCTAACTAAATAGTTGCATCTCGCAAATATAGTAGCAAAACGAGAATCAGGGCATGTAAAAGAAAATAAGACAAAATAATAATAATTAATATAAATAAATTAAAAAAACTTCAATTAAAAACTTTTAAAAACTATAAAAATCATACATCCATTTTTCAAACCTAGGTTCTGACTGCCTGCAAAAAATCGAAATGCCATACTTCATTTCTGTTGTATATTGTTGACATACATCAATTTGAATTATTTCATTGGTCCAAGGTTAATTTGTATTGGGTGTTAGGAAAGAGTTACAATTAACAATGCTTCTCCATTTATTTCGAAAGAGATGTTGGTATAAAAACAAGGGGCCTTTATGCTATCGTTCTGTTTTTCATTTGAATATTCTCGCCAGGAGAGAGGACAACAGAGGGACTCTAGGCAAAAAAGGTGAAAGGAAAGATATATAGATTCTTTGCTCTAGGCGTCACTTACAGGGATGAAAGACCAAGGCATTTATGGAGTACCTTTGTAATAAAATTACATGTTGGGTTGGCAGAGGCACAGGGTACTTTGACATTTTTAGTGATGCCTGGAGTTTCTCTATTGTCCTCTCCCTGATCTTATCTTTAGAGTCATATTCGGCTGTACTTAGCTTACTTTTTCATTACATTCAACAGTATTAGGAACAGTATTATTTTTAAAACTGTTTGCTCCATTAAAAGGTTTTGAGTAAATTAATTATAAATATTCTTAAAAGAGGTTTTAAACCTGGCTTTAAAACTACTAATGTTGCATCAAAATTTGACAACATTCCAAATACAATTCAGCACCACCCTTGAATTTGCCGCCTGGGGCACAAACCCCGGCTTGCCCCCCTTCCCTAGATCCGGGACTGGAAGAACAAATGGAGAAATGTTTTCAATGTAGCTAATAAAATAGTAAGTATGATGCTAGGTGGTTGATCTAATATCCATAAAATTAACCAATAATCTGCATTATAGTGTTTAATTTTGTAAGGCAAAAAATAAAATGTTAAATTTTTACAGACTTTCCTTACTTCCCAAGGTCTCATGGATGTAAAAGATATATATGCTAACATTCAAGAAGATTAGATAATATTTAAAGGTTGCCCTCTTTGATCAGTTTTATAAAAGTAGGGGAAAATTATGACTTTTGAATGTTACTTACTTTTATTGGGAAAACTAAAAATTACAAACTTAAAATAATATTACAACTACACATTAAGATTAATACGTAGTATGACAGGCAAAATCTGTGTTAAATTAATCAAATCTGAATGACTTAATTTTTAATCAACTTTGTAATCCCTTCTTTTATTTGTTTGGTGAAAACTTTTCTGTGATGCTCGACTACATTCAATAAGAATAGTTTTCATTGTTCATCCCTGACCAGTGACGTATAGGGCCGGCGGGCAACCAGGCAGATGCCCAGTGCAATTTCAGGCCGATCAAGAAACTCAAACAATCGAATCAACACAGATGACTCGAAGAGACAGCCCGAGTGAGGGTACTAGAGTAGAATTAACACTTTCACTCAAAAGTATATCTTCCAATGGTATACAAAATGCTCAGATATGACAAATTACAAATTCTATTCTGGATAAAATATCAACTTTTTGAATAATTTTGTCTGCTCACATATATTTGAAAATATTTCAATATACTGAGTCAGTAACGAAATATTTGCAGACTAAAGGATTAGATTATATCCTAGCATATAATATGGTTAGGGAGGCTACAAGCTCTTTAAAAGCCATTCCTAGAAACTTTGATTTAATATTTAACGCAGCAAAATTGTTTGCAAAGGATTGCAATAATAAACTAGAAAAGCTGGGTTGTGATATAATTATAGAATAAGAGTTGTTTGCTAAAAGACACCAAAAAGTGAAACATATCGACGACGAAGAAATAGCTAACGATGGAAAGCAGATGTCAATAGAAAAGATTCATCGATGGAAAGTAGGTTTAAAGGGCATAGGAAGTTGTATGAAGACATATTACTTCTACTACTAAGAACAATAGTGATTGAGTTCAAAAGCATCGTCCTTTACTCTGTATCAGTAGATTTGTACAAAAAAAGCGAAGGTACGTCAATGGCCGCCACTTCGACAAAAGGTGAATAGATTCTTCTCGATCCATAAAACTTCGAAGCCTTGCCCAAACACTTTCACTATTATTAGGCACGATCCGTGTAACAATTGATAAAATCAAAGGTGAATCAGATCTAGTATTAAATGTGAAATACTAAAAATTCAATTAAAATCATTATTCGAATCTAATATATGAGAAAGGATCAGAAGAATAATCGAAGGAGAGAGTCTCATCTTTTAATGACATTCATCCAAAGCTAAATCAAAAAATTGCACCTTGTTGCATATAAATTACTCTTGAAATATAATTTTATATTATTGCGTAAATTTATCTTTTTTGCTTATACGTTTACCACCCTTTCTATCGATGAATGTGAAAGAAGTGTATCAAATAAAAATTCTAAAAAGTAGATTAAGGATACTATGAAGCATCTAATTGGAATCATTACTATTGATATCATAGAGAAGATATTTGGCTAAACAAAAATTGAGAATCTGGAGGAATAGTCCCCCAAGCCACCTAATTAAAAATATTAAATACTATTATGAATCAGCCCTGTTTTGTTTTATAATTATTTCGTCACAGTATTTATTGTATGGATTTATTAATATATATATATATATACATATATAATAAAAGAGTACATAATCGGGAGGCCTATGTGGACCTAATAAAGACCTAAGAATAGAGAGACCTAATAATTTTGCACATTGACCGTGCAAATACACATAACTTTTACTTTGTACTTATTATTGTTTTACATGATAACCTTTTTTACTCTGAACTATAGTATCAAATGTACTTTCAGCATAGCTTTTAGAACTTTCTCGTCTTGCATAATATATATATATATTAAAAGTAGCAAGACAACATGAATTGAGTGACCTAATGGTCAGAATTGCACATTGACGAGGTCTTAAAAACGATATATTGACTTACGACTTTTTAAGATTTTAAGTTGGATTATTCTATTAGTAAAATTATGTTTATAGTCTCGATTATTATCGTTTGATGTAACATGCTATAGGTATTAACTTGATTCGAGTTTTGAGCTGCTTTTCCCTTGATAACTCCGCCTTAAACCTCGAGTTGAGCTATTGACCATTTATTGCAATTTTTTGTACATATTTACTGTGTATTTGAAATCTATTTAATTTTTACAAGCGTTCTTTTTAAAATTCTTTGTGCATTAAAATTTCTTTAATTTTTCTCACCCTTTTTGATTTTGAAGTCATCTCAATTTGTAATTTTTACATAGTTTTTACAAGATAGCTTTTACTACTTTAATATTGTTTCTAGTTGTTACATGATTTTACATTTTTGCTGAGGAACTATAGTGTCACATGTATTTTTTGCATTACTTTTAACATTCCTCTTACTTCTATATTTTAACTTAATTTGCTTTTTACAAGTAGAGAATTTTGTTAATATATCTTATAATAATAAAGTGTTACTTTTCCACAAAGGTATATTTTTATTTTATAAAATTATTTTTATGATGATGATAATGGCAATGATAACTTATATGTATAATGATATTTTATATGGGGCCATATGGTCGACATATTTTTTCCTGCCAGGGCTGATTTCTTTGACCAATCCGCCACTGTCCCTAACCGATTATTTAAACTTTTTTATAAGAGGATTTCCTCTTTTTGCAGTATAACCGAGAACCTTAAGAGCATTCACATGGCTTCTTAGAGAATCACCGCAATATTCTGTCACATCATGGATCCCAAACAATTCAAGGAACGTCTTTGTTTTATTAGTAACAAAATGACTCAGGTCTCTTGCTTCAAAAACTTGTGCTTTTACACTAATTATTTCCCTTCCTTATTCTTTGCAGGCTTGGTTTCTAAATTTTTAGTTATATCTTCCATATCAGCGTTCGTCTAAAAAAGCCAATCCTACGTTTGTTTCCGACAGATACCAAAGCTGTCTTTTAGCAACTGTGACAGCACTCTTTTGACATCTGCCTCTGGGTAAGCACTCAAAAGCTGTAGCATATCCAAATCATTCTTTGGAATCCATCAACTTAAAATTGCCTTGTAATGAAAGCAAACATAATATGAGAAACGTGCAAACTGTTTCATTCCTTTCAATTCTCATTGAAGAATATTCAATTATTTAGTGAAGAGAAAAATTTTAAATGCATATATGTATATATTGCCTTAGCCATCCACCTTGCTTGATGCAGAGCCCCTGGGATGGTGAAACTGAAGTTGCTTTGAGACCAACCTCTCAGGTACATGAGTAAGAGTTATAATAATTCTTTGCAGTTTTCCCTTGGATGATTTCTGTTTTCTAGGGCATTTTAGATGTAGTTAATAATTTTCACTTGTTGTTCTTTCAGAAAGCCTTGAATCGGACTTTCTTCATTTAGCATTATCGTATACGACTTCTTATCAAGTGAAGACCACAGACTTCCGAAACAATTCAAGGAACTTCCGAAAAATTTGGATGTCAGAACCACTTGATGGTACACCACATCACTCATCAAACACTCCTTTCTATATTAGTTCATGGATGTGATGACGGCAAGCCAACCACAACAATTTTCGTTCAAATTCCCTTTCATTTCTGGTACATGCCCCTTGTATTCGTTCCGTATTAGATGCCGCAGTACATTAGTACCAATCACTTCAGTATTAGAAATTTCACTAGTTTGAGATGAAAGTAATAAATGTTTGCAACCCTTAAATATTGTCCAATCTTCTTGAAATTTGGCATATATATCTTTTACATCACTGAGACTCGAGGCATAGGCAAAGATGTATGAAAATCACACCTATGGAAAAATGAAACAGCCTAATATGCATATATGTTTGTAAAACAGATGAAACAGCACATTTAGTGGAAACTATTGCTACATTGTTAACACCATATACAAGTGAAATTTTTCTTATCCTTGCTGTTCATGTCATTAAAAGGGCTAAAACAAAGTTAAATGTAAAATTTATATATTTGTTAATTGATAATGCAGCATTCTATTGAAATTTATAACTCATGCTCCTCCTTTCAGTAGAAAGGAAACTAGTAAGTAAAATGCATATCTTAAAAGTAAATTCTTTTACAATAACTTATGAAAGCCTGCCTATGCAAGATGATCAAGAGAAAATGGCTAATATTCATGTTAAAAGTACAAAAATTATAAATACTTTTCTTAGCAGATATGAAAATAATGGACAAAACTACTAATATTTAGTTGTTTTTGATCATTCAGCTGCTATAATTCCATAAATCCAGACGATTTGCGATATTAAGTAAACTAATTACATTTCATATATAAAAAGACTAAACATAAAGTTATTGAACTATTAAATATAATATGAATATTTCTTTAGCACATTCATAAATTATATGATACATATAAGGCAATAATTAAAAATATATAAGTAAATAATGCTAGTGAAAAAATATTGAATTGCCATTTACCTCTCAAATTGATCAGTACTTAGATAAAACCCAAAACTTTTTAACACTGTTTGAAGATCATGTTTTTCTATCAAGCCATTATTATTATGATCATGAAGCCACATGCACTGAATGAAAGTTTTTAAATTTCTGTTAATCTGAAAAAAAGAAATGCATGACTGAATTATATTAGTATAACACAATATGATGTGACATAATTATATAATCACAGAACACAAGTAATAAAAGTTATTTAAAGTCTAAAATTTTAAATGCCTTTCCAGAAAAAAACTTCATTTCATTTTCTAGAGCACTAAAAATATTTTTAATGAAGTAATCAAGTGTAGAATTGTTGTTTCCCCCTAAAAAATTATATATTTTGAAGGACACAGATAAAAAGTTTGCATGATACATATTAAAATACAATCTAAATTTTTCATATGAAGTACATGTTAAGTTTTCATTCACTTACTTTTATTTTTAAAATGGTAAAAATTCTAATATTATTTTCAAAGAATGGATTGAATATCTTTTCACATAAAATTAGCACTTTTTACAAACTTTTTTAATAAAATTTACCTTCTATAATTTAAATACTTGATAAAGAAAACTATTGGTAACTTCAAAACCAAAGCAAAATAGCAGAATGATTCATATGCACCTATGCTTTATTAATAATTTAAGCAAGTAATGGTAATACACTATTTAGATAACTCAATGTAGCATTCTTAACATTAAATACTATATATTAATTAATAAATAGTGTATTTATTTAATATTATTTCTTATGAAAGGCAAAGAGAAAGTATATTTCTTTGAAATATTCTTTAGATTCTGTCTTAGCTGTTTGACTACATGTGTGAGAAAAGTGTCATCATATTCTCACAGTGTAAGTTTATAAAAAATAATTCTACCTTATGCAAAATGTATTGCTTAAATAAATATATAATGTATGCATAGACTTTTAATAAGCATCAAATATACATAAAATTGTTCTACTGATATCTGGAAAGTTTTCAATGCAAGGAAATTTTGTAGCTTATAAGTTGATTACATTTATTTAGATGCACTGATGGGGGGGAGATATAAAAAAATTAAATACATTGTATATGTAGTTAATTACAGTTTACTTGTAGTTTCAATATAATAGATGATCCCAGCATAACATTTACAGTTGCAGCAAGTTCACTGTTTTCATATCAGTAATATAATAAGCAATAATGATCAAATTATAACATAATACAAGTAGTATATAAATAGTTATAACATAATACAAGCAAAATATCAGAAGTATATTACGAATATTCATAGAGATCATGCTGCTTAACAGCAAATTTAAAAGATTATTTTAATGAAACAAAGGTAAAATAATATACACCGTACACAATGCCTAAATACATTATAAAAAGCAGTTCAAAATATAATCCAGCAGCTGATGGAAATAATGTCAAATAAAAAATTTAGATACATTATGTACAAAATCTGGATCAAACAATTAAAAATAAACATACAATTGTTTCCATACACAGCAAATACAGTGATTTAAAAAAAAAAAAAAAAAAAAAAAAAAAAAAACGAGATTTACAGTGAGAAAATGTTTAAAAAATTGCATACTTTTAAAAATATATTTTCATCATGTTTGTTGCATATGCAAACAATTATATGTTTATTTCAGTGGCTTGATCTGAATTAAATATGCATTTTATTTAAATGTATTATTCTTATTTTACATTATATATACATAATGCAAAATTGACAATATTTTTTGCATATTAGCATTATTAGATATTGCATAGTATACAAAATAAAAAAGTGCATACAATTACAAATTTAAGAATCATCTGTCTCTAAGACTGAAGAAGAAATATTTTTAGTTACCAGTTAAGTTCTGCAAACTGCTTATAACAGAGTTATAACTCAGCTTAGTTTAGGACCCCAATATAGTGTATTTCCATGTCTAATCAGTTAACTAATTACAATAATTAATTATTGATTCCTTTTAGTGCTAATAAAGTTAGCACTGACATAATTGATGTATATCCACAATCAGCTGATCTATGTTCACATGTACAGAGTGTTGAATCTTGCCATACATTTTTACTTCCTTGTACGAAGTAAAAAGGAAGTATTGTAATCGCGAAAAGTTTCAGGCAGCATATTTCAACGAAAATATCCATTTTGACTGCTTGAATGCATTAATGATGTTTTTTGCATATCTGTACTTAGATAGAATAAGGACTCTTTCCTCTAAAAAAAATTAAACTGCTTTCAAAGAATTTGAGAGATTTTCGCGCGTCTGTACAACGTACGTACATTCTCGCATAACTCAAAACGAGTACCCAGAACGTTGAAATTTTTATATAGACTGCTAAACATGTAGTGTGCACCTCTATTTGATGCAATCCCCGCCCAAAATTAAATAATTTATAAATACCACTCTGTTACCTGGCTCAGGATCTCAGTTTCTTTATTCTTATTTTTTAATTGTACATTTTTGCTTCAAATGATTGATTATTCTTATGTTCTACTTCCATTTAGGTTTTATCCTTTATAATCTGTATGCAATATTTTAAATATCACATTTAAAAATTGTTAGTGCCGCTAAGCCTAATAATTTTTTGATTGCGTTTGCTTGTTACCTTTGAACAGCAGAGTCTGTATTTGTTGCCAATCTAGGAATGTAGCTTCGCAACAACAAATATATGCCTTCATTATATGCGAATAATCATGCTTAATCCTTCGTGTAATTTTTCGAGGAAATAGTTTAAGATCTTCCTTAAGTTTTTATTTAGTAATAATTATATGTTTCATAAGTTTTTGAGTTTTTTCTTTTGCCTTTATGAGTGAGAACGAATTCATTGAATAAATACTCATTGCCTGTGAAAAAACTGTTTCTCTTTGATTTGTTTGCTTAATTCTTATTACTTGTTTCAGCTTCTATAGTATTTGAATAGACATGTGCCAACATTAGAGAACTTTGAAAGATATAAATTTGTGCATTTGATTATAATATGAAGAAAAAGAAACAGTTAAGTGAACTACGCGAGTGTCGTATGGTCAACAAACAAGTGATTTTTAAAGCATGATTATCTATGTGTTATGCCTGTCGCGAAGTATATTAATTAAATCCAAAGTTAAATGAAATCAAGAAAAAATGCATATAATTTATATTCCATACAAGGACGCATGTTGTGTACACATCATATTTTATATTCATTTACTATTCATATTGGATGTAAATGATGATATCCTGAACTTGCTTAGTTATCTTCACTCATTACAATCGGTACTCTTATAATGTAAAAAAAAAAAAATTCATCTTTTTCCAACAGATGGTATTGCAAGTGTGTATGAATTTTAACCACAAAAATACGTATTCATATATGAAAAATTAGAAGTGTCAAAATGTTTAATTAGTTTTCTTTTGAAGTTATGAGGGCAAAGATTCGACAAGCATTTAAATTAGCATCCCAATTTTATTTTTTTTTTTTTTATTTTGGGAACATTAGATAGTTTTTATAGTTTAAACTATTCTTTTCATCCATTAATATAACGAAAAGGATGTTAAAGCCGTAATCATTATAGCTAATTTATGATTTGCATCTGTGCACTGTTTTGTGTCGTTAAAAATTATGAGAGAATCAACTTTAGGGTATGAGTTGCCTACTTTGGTTATTGCTTACTTAAGTTGCTATTTATTATTAGGTATTACTTCCAGAATTAACAATTAATCTCAATTAATCTTAAATGAATCTTAGTTAACATGATTCAGAAAGACAAACAGAAAAAAATGGAAACAAAAAAGGACAAAAAGAAAAAAAAATGCATATGGCATGGATGCACTCAGCTGATCAATGTTTACAAGCAACATTTTCAAAAATGAGAGCAATTAAAAAAAAAAAAAAAAAAAATCTGAGGGAGATCATTAAGAAATCAAAAAATGTAGTTCTCTTTGTGCACTCTATGAGTTTACATCAACATTGATAAGTTAAAAAACTTTAGTTCTCTCCACATGCTTTATCAATATTAACACATCAAACAAATTATTCAAAACAGATCATTGAGAATTAAAAGCAAAGGTTGAAAATTGGACAGAAAACAAGTATAATGTCAAATAAAAATAAAACATTGAAATGCATTATATATTCAGTACAGATCAAACCATTAAAAGTGATTCATTAGTCATTATAATTTACAGCAATATTTGATTCATTAGAGAGCATTGGAGCCTTATAAGTGTTGGTAGAATTAGTGAATAAGTCTTTTAAATCTCATTAAATGTTATGAATACTATTATTAATAGGTGATATTAATTCCAAATAGAGGTTTATTTTCTATCCCAGACAGCAAAATAGACAGCAATCAACTTGAATAATTTGCAGAACTGGCATTAAGTTTATTTAATCAAATTTTAGGAAAATTGGCAATGGGAGAAAGGAAATTTTTTTGTATCCAAATAGCTAATTCAACCTTTTCACATATTTACTGGGACATACCACAATCTCACAATAAAGTTAAATGATTTCATATTTCTCAGCATGCAATCTCTCTGGGGAGAGGAGTGGGTGAACCTTTTTTCTCTTGCAGATCGTGGTTTTTGGGTTGCAACAAACAAAGACACTAACATTTCCTTTTCATAATTCTTTATAAAATTTTGAACTGTAATTTATAAAGTCTTTTTGGAGAATATGAAATATTTGTCACTAACTGTGCTTACTTTTTGTTCTTTTATTTAATCTATCAGTCTTAAGTCATTTTACCTAGATATAAAATTAGTAAACTAATCAAGGCCTTTAAATGGCAGCACTGTGTTTGAGAAATATACCTAATTCATCAACTGATTTAAAAATTTATTGCTTTCAATACCATGCCTTTATAGAGTTTCACAAATATTATCATTTGCTCATTTATTTGAAGATCCTTTCTTGATCGCTCATGTAGAAAAATTTTAATATTACAGTAAGAACTTAAAAATAAGTCCTTACTGTAACAGTAGAAACACTTATTTAATTTTTAACACAGAAATGCTAAAGCCTTGTCCAA